AAAGTAACACCTTCTTGGTAAAATTTCTCGATATTAACAATCAATAGGTAAAGTTTGAATGAAGTCTAGGAGCAGTTTTATTTCAAGGGAATTCCCTTAAGCAATCTAACTTCAGTTAGTGAACACACGCTAAGTCAAATGCAGAACTTTTTTAAACTCGACTCTAGACAAATTGTTATTTCATTTGGCCCTTGTGAATTGCGACGTTTCAACCAGTAATGACAACCGAAAGAATAAACATAGTAAACTTGAGCTGTGCTTATTTTTTGTGTATTTGTATCGAATTCTTAAGAAAATCTCACAGAAAATAGTAAAAAGAGAAAAAAAATTAATTAATAACAAACGCGAACCCTTTACATTTCTCTCACACACGCTTAATGGCAGACAAAAAAAGAAAAACGTTTACCGTTTGCGTGAGTGTTAACTCAAATAGTTTGCTAACTCTGTTAATGTAATAAGGTAATGACTCTTGTTAAGTCTTAATTTGAAATAAGTGTAAACAAAAAGACTACTCTATGGTTTAAAGCCTTCACGATACGTAAAAAGATGGCGCCACACGTTGCATTCTAGGGTAGATTGACATGTCAGCCCCAAATTTACTGTGTTTGTATGGGAATCTGACGGCGAATAATTTCCTTAGAAAATAAATTCTGAACAATTTATTAACAGCAGAGTTAAGATACTAGGCAAAAGATTGTACTTTTCCTTTTTCTTTTTTCGAGTTCACAAATCTCAGTTCGTTACAACTAATTTTAATATCGGATACCACATACCTTCAGCCGATTTGCTTTTGAGAGGAGCTGCCTCTGGCCACTTGCTGAAATAGCAGGTACAGGTGATCAAGTACTTATTGCCACGGGACGTCTCGGGCAGAGGTCCTACCAGATCGATACCAATCCGATGCCACACGGTGTCCTTTACTTTAATCGGATGTAGCTGGGCAGAAAGTTTTTCGAATTTCTTTGAGGTACGCTGGCAAACATCACAACGCTTGACAGTTTCATCGCAGTCTTCTAACACTCTAGCCCAATAATACCGAGATGTAACCTGGAAGAACAACAGGAGCACAACAGTTAATAACTGACAAAGTAAATCGTCTCCACAATTTAAAAGTTCAAGACAAGTAGCATTGAATTTTGTACAAACCTTTTCTCTCGTCTTGTCACGGCCGAAGTGCCCAGCAAGTTTGTCAGAGTGACAAGCTCTCAGTATCTTCTGCTGCTCGTCTTGGCAATGAACCCATCTTTTAGGCTCACCTTTTTCTGGCCAATGAAATAAAGCGCACCATCTTCAAGAACATATTTTAGCGCTTTCTTGCGCAAGTTTCTCTTTTGGTCTTTCGAAAAATCGATCGGATATTCGTTATCGCGGAGATAGTTAAAGACTTCGTTGTACGTTTTCGTTTCGGCCATCGTTCATGGAATGAATCATAAAAGTAATGATAACACTTGTGGAATTGAGTGCCCTTTTATACATAGCGAAGACAATAAAAGTAAAATAAAACCTTTGCAGTAGGCGGAGAAACTAAACTTTATTGTGCTGCACACAGTAACAATAACATAAATGAATAATTGCTGTAACACGTTCCACGCTTATTAACATTTCTATATATCAAGACAATGTAATTATCGTCTAAAAGCGACCTATTGTCTAGTACATGTTTATCACTTCATACCGATAATTTGTTAACATTCGACTAGACAAAAACAATATCAATAAATAAGTTTAACTAAATGAGTTAAACCGTTTTTTATATTTGCTCTATCAGTTAGTAAGTTGTGAAACATTTTATAACCGCACTGAAAATAACTTTTTATGGTCGGTGCTTAACAGACCAAGCGCAACACTAACTATAACTTTTACGCGTTAAAGAGTATTATGAGAACGTTTGATTCAAAGTTACACACTTGCGGTACATAAAGACACGCTTTTCAAGGCTTCTGGTGAAAAGCGCTAGATTTCAAAAAGAAAAGAATCTAGACGAGAAAAAGATTAAAAAGAAAAGGAAAGAAAACAATGTAATTAGAATATAGCGGTGTCTTATTGTCTATCATCTACTTTTTGTTAATTCACCCTACCAAACACTCTGTTTTTAACTTGACAAGAGCGTGCTAAAAAGACTTGAAGTTTAACTTAATTACTTTCATTCAAGAGGTAAGTAGCAAGTAGCACAAACGCAACGCGATGTTTATTTAACGGTGCGCCTAAAATAACATCATAACAGAATAACTTAATAAAGAAGTAAATTGTTCAACCGTATAAAATTAAAGTAGGCGGAGCAACGCATATCAGTTGAGGAAAACGAACAGCGAATTCCCGATTCTTTCGAACCTTCGTGAAAATAAAGCTTAATTCGAGAAATTGCGTTGACTAAAGGCTTTTTTTGAAGTTGTCGGAAGTTTAGAAGTCGAGATTTGAGCAATCGGTATTTCACAAAACCAAAAAAAAAAACAATCATAATTGAAGCTTTCACGCATTCAACGGTTGTTATTATTTTATATTTCACACTTTTTCAAGAGAACTGGCAAGCAAACAAATGATTTCAAAATTTACGTTTCATTTTCATTCCAGAGGTAAACAACAGACTTACAGCTGCAGGTTAATTAAACGAAAACCTTAAATTGAGACGCAATGCTGAGAAAAAGATCACGTCTACGAGAATGTTTTAAAATAAAAACCTACTTTCTGAAAAAAAAACTTTCTTTGAAAGCCTACTTTCTAAATTTTTATTATTTCTATTAGGAAGTTATGTATGGTAATGTTTTTACTCAGTTTTGTTAAAGGGGTCCAAATCCGCGGAGGGGAGTCCAAATCCGCTAGCGGATATGGACCCCGGGGGTCCAAATCCGCTAGCGGATATGGACCGGGGGGGTCCATATCCGCTAGCGGATTTGGACCGGGGGGTCCAATTCTAGGGGGGTCCAAATCCGCTGGGACACCGGCTTGATCCTCAGTATTTCCTTAGAGGGATAGCGCATTTTGAGGTAATTCTTTACGGCTAGTTCATCAGACAAGTTGGAAGCCCAGAAATAAGATAAGATTTACATTTCTCTTTGATACTGATACCCAACCAAGGCAATCATCCGCCTCAAACTCAGTGGATATTATTGAATAATTCCCTCGACTTCATCTTAGGGATTATTAATGAATATTCACCACGCTCTCAGCGAAGATTTTTAATCATTCTTCCCACAGCAAAAGACAGGTTCACCTATAAAGATGACTTTGGAGCCAATTTGAACTTTAAACCGAAGAACAACCAATACTTCTTGGAAAGTAAACTAGAATTCCTTGACAATCCGGGTGAGTGGTTCTACGAGAAGAAAAATGGCGTTGGAACCTTATATGTCATGACCATGGACGGAAAATCTCCCGAGGACAGAAACATTAGAGGAAAGGTGAATCACTGATTAACTACTGTTTTTTCACCCATCGATTTTCGTCAAAATGCGTTAAGAATAAGAAGGTAGCACGCTAGGAGCAGCCGAGTGTGTCACTGATTTCCCTACCACATTTTGACGTCGCCATAACAAAGAAGCAAGAATTGTTATTGGTGACGTCATCCTTGCGTTTTTCCTTCAATAGATCATAGGTAAAAACGATCAAAATGCGCGCGTAATTCAGCTTATCTTAAAATTCTTGATCTCGTCTTCATTCCGTTACGAAGGTTCAAGAAGTCGCCTTTCAAATCACAAGCTCTGCGTACGTCATCTTCAAAGATCTGACATTTTTCGCGACGACATTACAAGCGCGGTCCTCCAACAAACTGGAATTTCGCTCGATTAACTTCAGTTACCCGACGTACAATCGGCGCATGCTCGGAGACACGACGCCGCCTCAATGGACGAAGATAATGTCCGGACAAGGCTCGATGAAGTTCATTAACAACACTATGTACGGAACAGATGGCATTGCATTGGAGTATCAGGGTGCCAATGATCTGGTGGAGAATAATCTTTTTGAGTACAACGATTGGAGTGGAGCAAATATGAACGTTGCTGGGGGAGGTAAAAAACTGCGTTCAGGATTTATTCTCTTTTTTTCATCGTGAGATTGAAAGGAAAAGCTATGTCTAATACTGCGATCATATTCCACTTGAGTGATCGTTCAATAGTTCCCCCAATCATCGAAAGACAGATGGCAAAAAATTCCAAGAGGATGACGAGATTGTTCAGATTTTCAGGTTTAAGACGAGAGATTTGAAAAAAGATAGGACTTTTTCTAAATTTAGATATTCAGGAGAGCAAAAATTTACTATGGTTACATTAAGCAGCTCTTTTCTTACAGACTTACTAATTTATTAAACATCGGAACTGATGACCATTAAATCTTACATTAAACGTTAGTGGCCTCTCAATCGATACTCAAAGGAATACAATAACGCACTTTCCAATTTTTTCAGTTATTTTTCGTCGCGTCCACCATTTGTGATTGAAAAACTCACATGACATTGGCGCAGAGAGCCATCCCCTTAATGCGTGTGTTTCAAGCCAAGCTCGTAATTAGCAGACTTCATAGATCTAGTTTGGAATTCCTCCTCCATACATAACCATACAATTTCTCTTTGTTATAGTTAAAATATTTGGCGTATTCTGTAATTCAAAGCTGCTCAATTCTCGTCAAAAATACTCCAATCTGCTTCGCAGTGTGTGTGTAACCATTACCACTAAGAAACACAAGGTAGCTTTGGAAGTTCCCAGATTCCCTAGGGAAATATTTGTCTCGTTGTAAAATTAGTGAGTCCGTTTAGGAAATACAATTGACAGCTATATTCATGAAAATTGTTAATATTTTTATAAAGGGGCAGGAACGGTGCTTTCCCAAAGTATCGGTGACACGTTTATCAGGAACACTCTGCGTAACAACGGCGCCAGCGTCGGATTCCGTGCGGGATATAAATCACATGCTAAACTCAACGACATCAGCCGAACCTGCTATGGTATGATCCAACACGACGGCAGTGGAATACAAGTTCAGGTGAAACGTCAAACGGAGGTGCTGTTGGAGCAAAACTGGATTTACGACAGTCCCAAATATGGACTTCGCTTCGACGGGGCTCCTCCTAACATCGGGAAACACGGCACCATGAGGAGGAATGTTATTAGGAAGACAAACGGGATGATGGTGAAAGGAGATAACCACACTGTGGATCATAACTTGATCTTTCACAAATTCACGAAGGGAGGCGACCACGATGGACAAGGAAGTAAATGCAACCTCTGCGTGCTTTGGTAAGAAATACGTTTAATTCGTAAATGGCTTTTGTTTGCAGTGTCACGCAGTACTTCTCGGAGTGGTAAGGAAACTGAAGGTTTCGCCCCATTGCATGTTCACCCCATTGCATGTTCACCCCATTGCATGTTCACCCCTTACTGCCTTTGCCGTGAGTTCGTTCCCTGAAGTTAAGTAAGTTTGCCCTACCCTACCTTTACCAGTTCACACCCAAATTTCTCAAACCACAGTGAAATTTTTTTTTCTGTCGAAATCATAATACATTTTTTTTTTAACTACAAGGAGAGAACTTGCAAAGGTGGCAGGGGGCTAACTTGTAATAGGGCGAAACCTCCATAAACCCGAATTGAAAGCCCCGCATTCAACTTACGCATTCTTATAGATGAGATTCTCGCACTACCCCTCTCCAACAAAAAGTGCTTATCAGTCGGTAGCAATCTGCGAGGCAAATCCGAGCTTTATTCTGTGGGAAGTGTAAGAGAGGTAACCTGCGATAGATCACTATCCTATTGCGGGGCAAAAACAGAAACCCAGGTAAGCTCTGCCTATATGGTTCAGAAAAGTACCATATATTTTGGAGTTTCTGGTAGTATCGTAATATCCCTATCTATTTCCAGTCTATGCTTCTATTCATTATTCAGGTATGTCAGAAAAAATCCAGTGTCAATCAATCACAATACCCTTGTCGAGTACAACGCGGCAGACATCGCAAATGGCGGCGTACACAACAAGAAATTATACCCCATGAGCGGTGAACTAAAAGACAACATCATTGGTGACGTGCGAACGGAACTAGTGGACCCAGACAACATGGACTTCCGACCTCGACCAGAATCCACCTACATCCAAAACAACGTGGGTCCCTACAGCTTTGAGGAGACGAAGACAAAGTACTGGATCCCTGGAAGGCAGCTGTACAAAGCCAGCAATCCAGTCCCTCCAAATGGCTCCATTACCGTAAAATCGGACAAACGCGACGTGTTGATGTGGTTGAATGGGTTTGAGGCGGCCACCCATTTTGTTTACCTTGGAACTTCGGCTGATGCCTTAAAGCGACAAGGCGTGGCAAGAAATGGAGACAACGTCCTGAAAATTCGGCAAAAGCTGAAAAGTGGCACGAAATACCACTGGCGGGTAGATGCTAGAGTGAACACAAAGGTTAATTATGAGGGCGACTTGTGGTCCTTTGAAACGATATAATAAATAGAGGAAGAGAAGGCAGTAAGCAATGATGCCTTGAGCAACAAGAAAAATAAATTTCAGAATCGTTTAACAAGTGTAGAAACAAATAAAAGTGATCTAAAATAAACAGCAGTTTATTATTTATGGTTCACATAGTCGTGAAAGCGACCAAACAAGTACTATGAAATAATCGAACGGACAGCAAGAAAGAGTAACAATGATAATACCAATCATAACAAAAATAAATACAAAAAGATTAAGGCACAGATAACGATGGGATATTTCCCTTATTGCGTCTTTTCACGTTGATCTACCACGCTAGCATGGCCTTTGTCTTTTCAGCGCTTATCTAACGAGACTTATAAACGTTCTGCTTATGTTACCCTATTCTGCTGACGCCCTCCTCAAAACATCCTAAATCTTCCAATCTTTTCATCTTCCGATTCCCTCCTCTGACTAATGTACACTTTCTTGTAAATTTGTGAAGAGAATTTAAAGCTGTTTCGAAATGAAACTGGTGATTCTCTGCCTCTCAAGAAGACCTAACCAATATTGCAAAAGAAAGGTTGTCAAATACATTGTTCCCAACCATAGCACAACTAGACTGAAGAGCTGCAGCTTTCCATTAGATTGTTGCAGGTCGTATTGCTTCACTGAATAGTCGGCTCAGCCCATCATAGAGCATATTTTCCTTTTTTATTGATTTATTCCTCTCTCAAGACTTCCTCCACTTTATTGTTCATCCTCTCATGAACTGAAATCTCATCTGTGACAATCTTCTTTTCATCAGGTAATGGCCTGGAAAAAAAATTATAAAACAAAAATGCAAAGATCATTTACTGGCTAAAATGTGGCACATTGTGCCAAACACTAGCTCCCTGTCTTGAACTCATTCTCACCTGATTCTGATGCTTGTCTTGGAATTATAAACTAACCTAATAGCCCCACATCACTTTTAAAAATAAGCAAGTTTTTTTCTCTTTTAACAAAAAAATTCTTTCTAATTTCTCACTATCACCACACCAAGCTCCAGTCACACTTTTTTAGGAAAGCTGGGTTGATACACACTTAACTTTTTGTTACTTCATATGCTGTTTTTTTAGACGAGGTTTAAAACAGTGTACTGTGACATTCACTTACTTATATTTGAGATGCTCTATCTTTTCTGGCATTATTGGTACTGTCTTCAAACCAGTTCTTCTGTTGAATTCAGTCAGGACTTCCATTTCCTTACTTCGCATCTACAGAGTAAATGAAAATGAGCCCTTGGTGACAATCACCATGATTTTAAATTGGTGCATAGTCACTTAAGAGGGATGCAGTCAGTCATCATTCAACCACCTTTTCTTAAAAAAAATGTCTTCAAGCTAAGTACTGATTGGTTTCCCCTTTACAGCTTCCATACATTTCCTTGTAAATTGTTGAGAGAATTTTTCATGGCATCAAGATAGCACTTTTGGGCTGACAAGTTCATCAATTATCATCAACTGCTTTTTGGATTACATATTACATATTGAAATGGTAAGGACATGGTAAATGTCAGGGAAGGCCTGGTAAGACCCTGTGATGAAAGATCTTTTTGAAACTTCTACTTACTATGAACAATTACATAACTGAGTATGAGAGAATGAAACTTAAGGGTGCTGTTCATTAAATGTTGTAGCTGCACCTCCTGTGTCTTTCTTGTTCTCATCACATTTTGGCACCATCTATGACCTAAAACTGAACAGACGCAAGGCAACGTGGAATCTATTTCTTAACTCTTTAACTCCCAAGATCTCATTACTAATTCTCCTTACTGTCTGCCATACAGTTCTTGTGATGTTAGTTTGGAGAATTTGGGATTAGATCAACTTATAATCCCCTAATTGATATTTTTCTTTATTCTCATCACTTATCTGGTTGATATTGCATTGATATTGCAAGGAGAAGTTCTGTCGGGGTCACTCATGGGAGTTAAAGGGTTAACTACATGTACCTTATTAAGCTTCTTTTGAGTGTCATGTGTATATCCAAGCAAGTGACAAAGGCCATGGGTTATTAAAACCTGAAGTTACAAAAAAACTCATTGATTTCATGAACTATTAAACAGAAAAAAAAGAGTTCAAATGTCATAGATGTTATAAAATGTATTGATAAGTGACAACTAGTGGAGGGACATACTGGTAAATAATCATCCAAATGTTTGCCATCAGCTTCGCAGTCTTCAACAATTTTTGGGGTTCCAAGGACAATATCACCCAGTGTGTAATCATCAACTGGCCTTGGAAGAGGTGGCAGTACACCAGGTGTTAAATTCTGTAGGAAAAAACCATCAGTGACATACTGAGACAATCTGAGGTAAAGTGGTTCGTTCACAATATACCTTTACCTAAGTGTTGAAGAGAGCAACAAGAAATTCACATGGTGTTACCGTATTTGTCAGCATTGAAGTCTGATTGAAATAACTTTTAATGCCAACTTTGCAGTTCTTAATTAATTCAATCAATTTGTAAAAATTAAACTAAAAAGTTCACAAAGAAATTGCCAGACAGATTGAAAAATGGAAAGACTAATAGAATGACAGACTGACTTATTTACCCATAACAATTAATTAAAATACAAAATTCACAAAACTAATTGACTAACGCTTGATTGCCTATCTAAATTTGTACTACTGACGGAAAGACTGTACTTGACATAACTATCAAGAAGCTAAAAATGACGCTCAGAATTCCTCGTCTTCTATCAAAATTCTCATATCATCACAAAAATTCATCTTGTACTGACCTCGATGCTTGGAAAGCTTAAGATGTCCGTAACAACATTTTTCCTCCTATAACGTAAATTAAGGCTCTTGATAAATCCTTTTCCTACGAAAATGACGTTCACATCAAAATAACTGATTCGTAAAATGTCCACAAGAGTATTACAATTCTGTAATAAGCCAGGCAAGTTTAGAAGTGTTCTACTCTGTAAATTTCTAATCAAAACTACCATATTTACTACGCGCATCTTCTTGCATGGTGTGTAGAATGCGTGAAGTATACCACCAATTACGAAGACTCTACCAGCTTTGGCTCACCGTGATCAAATCACCCTTTCAGTATTAATTTTAACCCTGTAACTCTGCATATTATTTATTAAGTTAATCCCCATGCATTTCTCATACTTCAGCACCGTATTCTGGTTTCTGAACGTTTCGCCGTTCCAGTTTTATAGTCTCGAGTCGAGAGGGACTATATAGGTACTCATATACAAAACCCTTTTTAAACTAGTAAGCGACAGACCCGTCAGCGGTTTCTCTAGAGGTGTTTACCCCGAATACCATTTTCCCATCTTTCTTAGAGATGAAAATATGGGGAAAGAACGCAAAAGAAAAGCAAAGAAAACCACTTCTTCAACGAAAAGGAAAGGTAACTTCTTTCTCACACAGTGTACTTTATTAAAGTTCTTGAAAATTGACAGTTTACAACAGGAGATAACAAGTATGTATCATCTCGATGGCATCCTCCAAGACCACGTGCAGTCTAAAACAGCTGAATCAGAAAGCTACTTTGAATTTTTCCCGTACCAGAGCTCTAATTTTTTAAAACATTTTTTTCCTCTCTTTCTGTCAATTCTATGACATTTTTACGATGTGATGAAGCTACTGTATGCGCTTATGATTCAGAGTCAATCTGAGCTTGTAAATTTATTTGCCACAAAACACACCACCAATGAAACACCACCAACGAAAATAACCCTTTAACTCCCAGACCAAATTTTTAATTCTCCTAACTGTCAACCATACAATTCTTATGATATAAGTTCAGAGAACTGAGTATTGGATCAACTTATTATCCCCAAATTGATATTTTTCTTTATTCTCATCACTTATCTGGTTGATATTGTAATGATATAGTAAGGAGAAATTCTGTCTTGGTCACTTATGGGAGTTAAAGGGTTAAACACTGATATGGCATGGATGTAATTAATTTCACGTTCTCCATGTTGTTGTTTTTGTTGACCAATGGAAGTGATTTTGAAGAAAATTTACTTTCAAAAATCATCAGTCTTTTTTTTCAAGAAAATTTCTCTCAAAAATCATCAAAGTTTTAAAGATATCAGTCTCAAGTGTAGCTGAAGATTATGTATACAGTCAAACTTATATCAAGTGGCACCATATTTTAAGCAGTCGGTTTTCAAATTTCCAATTTTTTTTGCCCAAAACACTGTAATTCCTCTATCAAGTAGCTGTGGTCACCCCTAACAGAGTTCCAATGGCCTGTTTGTATTGTCCTTTACCTGTACTGAATGGTCACTTCAACCACAATCACTAAAAGTTAGGAATAATTTTTCAAGTAAACTTTAATCCATGTTTCTATGCTGAAATCAATTTTAGTAGTACTTTTGCGTGAGTTTTTTGGAGATCAAGTGTCAGTTATGGTATAATGGGAAATTTTAAAGTAAACTTTCTTTCTCAATACAGTTGTTATTTAGGATAGCAGCATATTGATTATAGGTTTTATGTTCAAACAGGATCTTCCTCTGAACGTAATGAAAAACCTTTGACAAACTCATTAACGTCTGAGAATGGTGGTGAAACTGATCTGGTTAAAGAAAATCAGAAAATAAAAGGAAAGGCTAGATACAGCATAAAAGATCTACTGAAGCAGGTTTGTTTTTTTGCATTTTTACATTTCCTTGCAAAAACATGTATTTCCCAGTCTTGCACTATATGATTATTCATGAAAAATCAGAATTTCTCCTCTTTCTAAAACATGACATCTTCACCATGGTTACCAACAAGGTGGTTTCATTTTTCACTAAGGTTTTGGTTTTTTGAGGTTGAAAGCAGCTTCTTTCCTCTCTGAAAGTTGAGTTTTCATGCCGGTGATTGTCTTTGGTTTATATTATTATGTTATCTATGTCTGCAGATAAAGAGTACTTTATAATTGAGTTTTTGCACATTTCTAATTTTTCAGGCAGAGGAGTGTCTCGATAATTTTAATTATGAATTAGCCATAAAGTTCTGTGAGAGAGCTCTTGGCATTGAACCTGATAATCTGGAAGTATTGGAAATGGCTGGATCAGTATACCTTGAAACTGGAGATATGGACAAAGCAAAATCAGTATCCTTAAGTTGGATGCTTTTGATGAAAGCTTTCAGCTCTGTGTTCAGATCATTTAATTTTGAACTTTGTGATTGTAACTTTGACTTGTTTGTCAGTCACACCCAGCCTTCAATCCCAGGGTTCCATGCTGAGATCATTTTAATTGCTATGATGATGAACAAAACATTTTGGGACTAGTTGCTAATTTGGCAAACTGTGTTTAGCAGCAGTGTGGCAACTTGTAAGCTTTTATTACTCAGTTGCAATGAATTCTGAGGTCAACATGGTAAACATGTTATATGTACCTCTAAGTCTCTTAACAATACTGATGCAAACAGGTCATGAGAGAGGAGAGTTTGAATGGTTGTTAGGTGAAATAATGTAATACTAAATTTTTATTACTATTTATCAATTGAAAAGAGTACAACAATAAGGAAATGTTTAGCCACCAGGTTCAGAGAGAGTTAAATGGTACAAATTAAATCATCAGAGTTTAAATTAGAAGTTAATTTCAGGGAAAGTTACATTTTATTTCTTTAACAACTGAGTGCTTTGAAAATGCTGTAAGGATATCTCCAGACCAAGGTTATTCAAAATTCATGAATCTTGGTCAGTTGTTGGAGGGTCAAGAGGCAGTTGCCGCCTTCAACAAAGGAATTCAGTTAATGATCTCAAGCAAAGAAAATGACACTGCTCAAGTAGGTTTAGTTCATACTTAGGTGTTTTTTACTATTTTTATGGCATGCAATTGAATAGCTATTAGAGCCAAAAATGGGCCCTTTTTATCTGGTTAGTAGCAATAACAAAATGTAGTAGATTGCTACTTCTGTGTCTATTTCCTCTGGATGAGATTCTAGTTTAATACAGCACCTGCCCCCCTCTCCCTTTTTAATGCCGAATGCTCCCAACAGATCATTGGTATCCATCCTTACACACTGTTGAGTACCTTGCTCAAGATAAGTAGGAAAAACACTGGACATTTGATAGAGTTGCTTGCATAGGAGATGGCTTTTATTTGTTTGTCTCATGTTTGTCTCAAAGTGACTTTAACTTGAAACAAACTAATTAACTTCATCTCCTAACCATGATATTGTCAGTAATAACCTTCTTTTGATACGTATTACTTGAAATTGAGTTGACATGTGTGAACTGTTTGAACTGTTTTGACTTCAGGCATCTGCAAGTGATAGCACAGCTGCATCATCCACTGAAATATCAACAGCCTACTGCTCCCTGGCAGAAATGTATCTTACTGATGAATGGTGAGCACTTAATTACCATTTACTTTTTACTTTTACCTTTGACTTAAATAGCTGATAAAAGCTTTTTGTACACTTTTAACTGAAGTATTATTTGACCTCTTAAAAATAAAACCACTGTAAAGTGAAACCTGCATTAAGTAGTCTTCTTTGTGTTAAGTGGAGACCTAAATGTACCAAAGTCTCAAAAGCTTCTTTTGATAATTTGATGATTGTAACCGAAATAGACCTGTCTGAAGGTTTTCAAAGTGGTTAAATTGCAAATTTTTTGAAAAATTAAGACTTGCATTTTATGTTAAAGTTTTAAAGAAGAAGCAGACAGCAAGTGCTATGAATGCTGTCAGAAAGCTGTTGAATTTGATGCAACCAACCCTGAGGCTTACCAGCTGATGGCCAGCTGTTTGCTGAGTCAGCAAAACATGGAAGAGGCACGGAAGATGCTTGATAAGAGTCTAGAGTTGTGGCAAGGAAAAGATGAAGAACTTCCTGAGGTTTGAGTTAAATATTTGAAGCCTAAATTGTTTAATTTATGATATTGTTTCCAGACCCAAGGTTCCGTCTCCACTTGGTTAAATGCGCTTACAACATACATCAGCTGGCAGTAAAATCCCCTGACAATACATCTATGACAAGATACATGTAGTGACAGGTATCATTCTCTACAGCTAAGTGGTTTGACCAGTTCTTCATCATTCTTTGGATTTCTTTATGTGATTGGTTAATGAATCATAAGCAGTTCTGTGGGTTTTCCCTAAGCTGTATTGAGAGTTGATGTGATTCTTCTTAGTGGCTCACTCAAGTAATTGGTATTAGTTATTGACAATCATTTTGAATGTAATTATTTTAGGCACCAGTGCCCCCATATGAAACCAGAATTGCAACATCAAAGCTGCTGATTGAATTAGAAAATTACGAGGTAAGAAATTAAATGAAACTGAAACCATTTAACTGAAAAATTTGTCAAATTTTGGTTACCAAAAATAGGTTATTTAATCCTCAGGCCACCATTATTTCCCACTCTATACTGCAGTATGCTAAACATAGTTCATCTGGGCGTCGATGAGTGTATCACATGCATTGTTTTTAGTAAAGATATTACACCCTTTGTTACAGACTGCTGGTTCAGTCCTTGAAGAACTTATTGAGGAGAGTGATGAAGTTCCTCAGGTACCGTTAATAGATGCGTCAACTGAATCTTAAATCTTGTATTTGCAACTTGATGTTTTTTTTACGTTTCTTTCATTTCATATTTGAAATTTTTTCTGAATTTACATTGTACATTTGACCTCGATTGTTCAAGGTTGGATAACGCCATCCACTGAATAAACCTCTAACCCCTGGATAGCTATTTATCCACTGAATATCGTTATCTGCCCTTTCAACGACTGAGCCTTGATCATAGGTTTGATTCATACATTGAACAGTAACGTATTTAAAAAAAATTGTTTTGATTAACGACTCGCTGACTGAAACACATCATGTCTTTCACTGCTCACTCGGTAGGTATGGTATTTACTTGGCTGGTTGAATCATATCACAAATCAGGACAGCACAAGCATCAGAACATGCCTGGAACAAGCTCAAAAAGTACGTACGAGCTTTTACGTTTGTCTCGTAGCGTTATATGCGACACATACCAGCATTGTGTGGATGTACTGTAATGCTTAATCAAAATTGTACCTTTTTAATTTTTTCAATATCTATTTTATGAATTTGTTCTCAGCTTTTTACCCAATTCGGATGTGACGACCAGCCTATGATGGATCACGTGACTGAGATGCTGGCAAGTTTACCCGAAGTTGAAAACCCGGATGAAGAAAATGGCGACCACGAAGACGACTCCGATCCTGATGACGGCGAAGAGGAAGAAATGGACACTCAATAAAAAAAATGTATATTTATTTTGATTAATACCTCTTGAGACTTGGAGGATACATGGAAAGCTTTCAAGTGATGACTTCTCGAATTTTATAATGAATCGTTGACTTGGTACTTGTACCGTATGTTATTTTGGATTACAAGAGCAAAACCCACCATGGCCTAATGACGTACAGTTACCAAAAGCTTGCAAAATAATTTTATGATAAAAAATCGATTACTATTATGTGTGAAATGGTACAGATTTCAGACGTGATTGCCCCTTATACAACCTGGTTCCTAGTCCTGAGCGACAAATATCGGCATTTCGAGCATGATCGTTACAGTTTTTGTCGTGTACTTCTTGGTTTTCTTACATCGCGTCAAACGTTCTTTGATTTATTGCACATTCTAAGAACTCTTCTTGCTCTTGGGCTGTTGGTAACGTGAGAACTTCCATTTTTGTGAACTTTTTCCTTTCCTGCATGGATTAACAACTAGATTCAGTCTGTCTTGGGACATGTCTAAACACGTGCCTGTCCATACGTGGACTATAGTACCCTGAAGATGAAACACGAAAATGTAATTACTTAATCCTTGACTTTAACTCCCACGAGTGACCAAGAGATAACTTATCCTGACAATATCAATACAACATCAAGTAGACAAGCGATAATAACAAAGACAGAATATCAATTAGAAGATTATTAGTTAATCCAAAACAAAGTATACGAATCAGCATCATAAATATTGAATAACAGGAAGGAAGGAAGGATAGCTTTTTTGGCCAAAGCTTGTTGCTGAGTCGATTATAGGAGCAGTTTCCAAAGCATTTACTAAAGCAAGTCAAACCAAACGATAGAAACAGGGAGACTATTAATACACGAAGAGAACCACGCTACTTTTGCCAAAGGCGGAAAAACGTATGCCACCATTTTCACACATTTTTGGTTTCACCCCGTCGGATGGTTGATCGAATAACAGAAGAGTTGAGCACTTCGGCTGTTTTTTTTTTCCTAACTTACCACTCACCAAGGAACGTAACAAACCGAAAGCAAAGTGATTTGGTGTGCCTTTTTGTTTATTTGTTTATTTTTCCTCTTCGTTTTGTTTGTGTTTTTGTTCCTCAAGTTTCAAGCCATGTACAAGCTATACCTTCCTCTTGTCGTGTTTCCATTCCTGATTTCCCCTCAAACCATGACATGTGATCATCTCAACAAAACTTCCCGGCTCGCTGTTCGGTGCGTCTAAACACTTGTCATCACTGAACTGAATTTCGTTCACCTTCGTCAAGGTGAAAAACTGCAAGTGGAGAGGGAGATCATCATAAGAAACGACAAATAGTTGAGTAATTGCCGACCTAAAGGGTGTTTAGAATTACTTCTTCACTACAGTTGGTAGAAATGTCGCAATCTGATTGGCCACTTTGCTGTTGTCGATAAGAGTACAGGCAACAGACAGCGCTACTGACGTCAATGTGTCACGCAATGCCTTTATCAGCTCTCAGAATCGTTTTAATTGACGTCGATATTGAGGTAAAAATAACAACAAATCGACAGTTGCGGACTCACGAGGCGCATTGTGGCCACTGTAATAACGAATATCATTGTTGATAAGAATACAGACCAAGCTAAACCACTGTAAAGAACGAAGCTCATGGAAGGGTGGAGTGTTACCACTGAAAGGTGCCCGAAACCGCTTTATGACAAGAGATGAGTTACTCCACGCATGCTCCCAAATGTCGGTGAGACGAAGTAATTTTCCTCCTATTGGAAAAGCTTTCTTACACGGGACGGAGCGCTTGGTGCGGTGGCAATGAAGACAGCTTGAACGAGCGTAAGTTATGTCTAGAACTCGTTTATTACTAGCACATTGTTGTGCTGTCTGAAGCTCTACTGGAAAAAGACCATGCGTTCGCTAATTCGAGCTTCCCGCCCCCCGAAACCTTTTGATGCGCAACGACTTCCGCTTAAATTCTCAAGATTTAGAGAGAGTTTTTGAGGGTTTAAGTAACTACAATTTATGTACTGAAGAAAGCGAACACGTTACCTGGTTTCCTCCCATGCCATGACAGGTGTACAGTCCCACACGGTCTACCTTGGCCGATTTCTCTCCAAGCGTGTCCACACATAGAGAGGAACTTGGATTTCGTATCTAATAATGGAGGTTGGAGTGTTGATTAAAGAAGAAAGTATGACCTGACTGCATTATGCAGGATTATTTCTACAGACAAAGGTATATTAAGGGAAAAAGCACAAAGATGATCTGCTTGTGTTCTCCTAACATTCCGCGTGGGTTATTTTGTTGGTAAACCGATTCAAAGTGCGGTCTAATGCTTGAATAGCCCTGCACATTATACAAGAATCGAACCACCGCGATGCACTTTACACACCTCGCCCTGCGCTGGAGGATTGGGATCCACTGAAGCCATATCCGTGAAAACGTTTTGCAGATACCATTTGAAGGTTTTACAGCCCAGCCTCTTTCTTAGCTTTACTCGCTCGCTTATGTCTCCAATATCGACGTTCTTCTCCTCATCGGTTTTTCTCCTGCAAATTGTACGAGGTCTTCAATTCAGATCAAATATGTGTTAGTGTGCCACTTTTTTTTATTCTCACCGCATTTTGACGTCATCTCTGATCTACTAGTGAGCGGACACCAAGCAAAATGGAATCTACTTCTTAAATAGACAACGAACAGACTCTCTTTCACAGCGTAACCTATCGACGATTACATCGATTACATATGATTCATAACACTTCTCCATTCTTTCAGTACCTGTAGTAAAATTCCTTGTACTCGTCCAGCCATACTTCGGCCAGACGATTGAAGTTCTTCGCCAGAGTGACTCCGGTGCCTTTAGGAAACTTGTAAGGTGACGTGTATTTACGAAACACGTGACCAACGCGTGAGCATGGTACGATTTCTAATTGGCCTCCACACATCCATACCTTGGTTAAAGACAAGATAACTTGATATTTTATCACATCAATGTCGCAGCAATCGTAGAAATACGGAGTTGAGCAAAATTCTCGCACTGCATGCTAGATGACACATAAAGAAAAATCATTCATATTTATTTTTAATTAAATTTTAACTTTACGTCCTGTTTGTAGCATAAATGTTGTTTTCAAGAAGAATTTATTCATTTGCATTACTACTTCATCGTTAGTGAAATGTTGATACCATGCGCTTAATTGCAGATTTTCAAGTAATCGACTCCGAAATTTCTTGGTGTCAAGGACAGATCTGGGGAAAGCGGCAAGGGGGGTATGTCCTTTTGTTTCTGGAACATTTATGTTTTGTTTGTTTTTCCTTTTTTGTAGCGCATTCCTTTTGAGTTAACAAAAGGACATAAGAGCGGCATGGTGAGGGTTGGGTATCATCACAATATTTCTAGTTATAACATGTGTCGCCTTACTCTGAAGGATAGTTCGAGGTTCTCCCCTCCCCAGATGTCCATTTGGTCGTCATATGATCCTAGATCATAAAAATACTGTTTATGCATCGAGAACAAACCGCCCGCCATAGTAGGACTCCTGAAAGGAAGGATACGCAAATGGGAACCAAAATGACAAATGAGAAACAGTAGTCATGTTATGGAGAGACATTTTCGTGAGTAAAAACCGATCAGAAACATACTATCAATTATCGATCTTTTGTCTGATCAAAGAGTCAGTTGTCTGTTCAGAATATTGGTCGCTCGGTCGGCATTTAAATCTTCAGCTCGGAGTCACAGTCGTATGTTCGGAGTATTGGCAGTCGTCTGCTCGGGAGTATCAGTCGTCTGCTCAACGTGACAGTCGTCTGTTCGGAGTATCAGTCGTCTGCTCGACGGGACAGTCGTCTGTTCGACGTGACAGTCGTCTGTTCGGAGTATCAGTCTACTGTTCGACATATCAGTCGTCTGCTCGACTTAACAGTCGTCTATTCGGAGTATTAGTCGTCTGCTCGATGTTACCGAGTCATCTGTTGACAGTATCAGTCGTCTGCTCGACTTAACACTCGTCTGTTCGGAGTATCAGTCGCCTTTTCGGATAATCTATCGCTTGTTGTAGGTATGTCTAAGGCGGAATTTCAGTCGTATGGTCGGAATGTCAGTCATATGGTCGTTTGCACGATAATCATTACGTTCGTCAGGGTTAGGTGAATTGATTCTTAAGATGGCTTCTGTTACGGTCGTCAACAATCTGGCAGTTTACAACATTGGTACTTTTTGGAGTTTCCCTAACAATCTTTCGCCGTTACGAGCAACTGAAATCGATTGAGACCATTTTAATGGTCTTGCTGATAAATCATTCAGTTTCATGTCCATGAAAGCTGACCAAGGGAGGGTGTTACCCAGATAGTGAACAACCTTAATTTCGCTCTTGCCTTATGAAGTCTGTTTCGTCCTCTCTTCGTTTCTTTTCCTCTTCCGGAATGGCTTTCCAGGTAAAAAACAGATCCCAAGAAAAGCCTCCACGCTCATAAATTACGTCTGATGTTTGATAACCAAAGTCGTCAGCATTTATTACTTCTATCACGGGACAAACGACATTGGTGCGATTCTGCGCAATCCGAGCCAGTAGCGGTTCTAGCCACCCTTCAGTTGCTTCACAGTGGGAGTCCAAGAAAGTCAAAACCTCTCCCCGGGAAACCTCGGCTCCGCGAAGCCGTGCTCGAACCAAGCCTTCCCTCTGGGACATCCGAATAATTTTTACTTTTTCGAATTCGCTGAGTTGCTCCTCCAAAGACATTTTAAGGTTTTCTGTACGATGCAAAGGAATAGTTAAACGGTCAGATATATGTCATTCACGTTTCGAATGGCTTGGGACTGGTCATTATTTATCGACGGGAAGGGGAAAGGTGGAGGGTGGTGGTGGTTTGGAGGATTTTGGTAGTGGTACGATTAAATTTTCCCAATTACCCCATAAAGCTCATCCCCCCTTTCCCTTCCCCCCCCCTCCCCAACCAGTCACCTCCTTACACTCTGTTGGAGACGGGTGATCATCCCCCTTCTGTTCTTCCCGAAAACCATGTGATCCACCCCCCAAAATCCTCCACCCCCCCTCCCCCCACTTCCTCTTCGGGTATAAATAATGGCTGATCCTTATCAAGTCAGTGTTTGTGTATTGAAATCCTTGGAGGTAAATTGATAACTGGATATTGCCAAGTACAAGTTGATGCGCACCTACAGGTTTGAAGATAATTCTCTGATTTTTACAAAGTCAAACAAGTAAGATAGATTTGCGTCCTACCGAATTCACTGAAGTCATCTACCAGGACAATGTCAGCCAGAAGATGTGGTGGCGACCTATTGAGGACACTGTGTACTGTTCTCAATAAAACAGACAGAGCCTCGTTATGGAAACAAATGATAACACTTGTAGTCGGTAAACTAGTAGGGTATTTCTTGTGTTTTTTGCGACACCTGAAACAAACGGGAAAAATAAATCATTATGTACCGATGGAGTTGTCTCTGAAACAATACTGCATTTTAATTTTGGTTGAAAGGAACTTAATTTGAATTATCTGCCAACTAGCTGATCATCGTAACTAATTTACTGTTGATAAATCCACTTGCAAAAATAATGTTACACCTCAAGATCGAATGCGTCTTGTTTCAGTTTTACGGAATACAACCTTTCGGCGACTTAAGTTTACAGTGACAACGTAAAGAAACAATGGGCTGCTTACAATTAAACTTACTTTGGCCCACGATAGTCTTTCAGAGTTCTGTCCAACGACATATGATCACTGAGAATAACATTGAACGAATGGTTATCAAAAGAGCGCTCTGCTTCGTCCTTAAATCGCGACGGTAATGTCGCTGGCTCACCGTCATCTCCTAATCCTTGTATCACTTCTGAAAAGTAAGGTTTTACTTTGGGGCTTCGCCACTTCCGCTCGGCCTCGTGAGAGGACTCGCGTGGGTACTGTCCGTGCGAACTTCCGGTCGCGTCTAACGGCACGAACGAATCTGTGTTGAAAAAGTTCATTTGGCTGTTCATGGAAGTTAAAATGTAAAGAATGTCCACTGCGAGCCAAAATAGAGAAGTTAGTATGAACACTTTCACAAACAATCTCCGATTTCTCATCATAATGAGTCAGTTCGTGACAATGATCGCAAATGTCTGTAATGTGCACCATCCAGTCTGCGTTAGTCCTCTTTACACCCAGGCAATGGTGGATCTCGTCGTCTGGATTTTCTATTTATCGCTCGCTTAAACTTCCCGAGTCTTAAACGTAAAGAAATTGCTCAAAGAATTTTTATAGCCATACCGGCTTTCAAGAAGTGAAAGAACGGCCCAACATGGTTGATAAAATATTGATACTGTTACAGGTTGTTTATCAGGTCTAAACCATTATCATCTACGGAGTTGAATTCACCGGTACCTGTCTATGGCATTCTGGGAAAATAGAGGAGACTGTCAATCAAAGAATTGCGATGGTATAATAGTAAAATTCCCCAGACTGAGATGCTCGTAGACTGAGGAACTGTCAAGGCTTCGTTTGTGACGCCTCCACGTTCAGTTTCCCCTTCGCATGAGTTTTCGTTTTAGAGAAATTAAAGTAGGTTAACTCTGTAATTCCTGAGTTAGACTAGCGTCTAACTTCTCCTTAGAATAACACCCCTTAACCAAACATTAAGTTACGAGAATACAGGAAATGATCATCAATGAAGGAAGACCTTGAATGTCAAACAAATTCTCCTTGTTATAATCGTAGGAAATGTGTAGAGAACAATATGGAGAATGTGCATTCTGATGTCAGGGTGTAGAGGGTTACGGTAGGTTGTGCCTGAAATCCACACCGACACGTTTAAGGTCGGCGTTGTTTAAGTTTTGTTATCAGTTTATCAGAAGCGCACTGCGGTCTCAAACGCCAGTCCTTGTTTCCAAGCTCCCCTTCCTTCCTGATAAAGGGCCCTGGAAATCACAATGGCTACGTCACTAACATCATGTGAAGTCTCAACCAGTTTCACTGTGACACATAAACGCTCGCTTTGACGCGTGAAGGTGCTTCTTGCAAATTAGTTCAATATCGCTCTTGCAAGGCTTTCCCAAAATTTGTTGTCAGAGAGACGCCTATAAGCACTCTCTTTAATCTACAACAAAATGGTTATCCACAAGGGAAGATCTTCAACACAAACGAAATAATAATACTTTAATTACTGCTCTTTTATTTGTCTTTCAAAGATAATTTAAGTTTTCAAGCTACCGTCTGTTTCCTGTTCCATTCTAATTTAAAATGTAATACCAGCAGCAAACAACTTAACTCGGGTTCCCACAAGGAATGAAAACCTTTTACATGAAATTGTAGCATTTACACTGTCAAAAGATTTTAAAACCTGCTGACTCAAAGTTTGTTGTAAAGAGTAAAAGAAAATAGGTAGCCATATTTAAAATGTTTTACTAGAGCCAAGTTATGTAACCACATCTACGGATAGATTAAAGCAGGGCGTTGTAAGTAATTAGGAAAAGCTTGGATGTTTGACAAATCTCGGTTCAGTCGAAGCCGCTAATTCCTCACGAAGACTATAATAAGGCACAAAGCCCACAATCAGCCAATCAAATAAAAAACCATTAGGCGTGCCACACGCGTTTTCCCGCGATTTGTGGAGATTACTTGTTGCGATTTCATTAGTTCTTTGAGTCTTTTTCGTAATCTGTGATTAGCTATCGTGTAATACTCGGTTAAGAACCTCCAAAACCCAACCCTCTAGGTGTCACAGAAATAAAACACTAAACGCAGAAGCATCTGGACATACAACCAAAAAAAACAAAAACAAAACAAAATATTGATCAGAGATTAAACAGCAGTTTCTCAGCCTTGGAATAATTCGAAAAAGAAAGGTACATTGCTCCCGAGAGCAATATTTTGGTAAAAAACAATTCGCGAACAATTAACAACGAAAACTGGAACGACTAACTTCTGATAACAAAGGGAATAAACAAGTACCATAACTGGGCTCATGTGACTGCGCGGCGCAGAAAACGGATACTGCCTTACTCTTAAAGTGAAAAAAAAAAAAAACCTGGCACACGAGGCCAAAACTGTTTGCGCCAAGCACTATAGTACATATTTAAGATGCGTCAACGCATTTTTCGAACTGCTATGGTTATTACAACTTAAGTTCCTTTAAAGTAAAGAGCAGCTTCGTCCATACGGTGATATTCTGCCTCGTTTTAGCATCCCAGTTACCTTTCATCCTTTGGTAGCTTGCTCCTCCAAAGGAGCATCAATAAGACAATGGAGAACAGACATGGGTCAGTATAGACAGATGCAACTGACGAACAATCAGGCTAAATTTTCAAGATGCTGATCGACAAACGGAGGCGAAGCTTCTTTCAGCAACGGCAACATTTAAATGAACATTTAAGTAATTCAGCTGATATTTAGTTCGACGAAAACGAAGTTAGTCTGGAAGAGCCAACATCACAGGTTTCTAGAGAGCTGTTTTCCCTGAATGACCTCTTTGATCTCTTGCAAGTCAAGAGTCTCGTACTTCAACAGAGCTTCGGCTAAACGGTTGTGTTCCTTAGAGTGAGTCTGTAGTATATTCTTCGCTCTTTCGTATGAGTCCTAAAAACACAACACAAGGATTATTACCCTCTCAAGTAAATAACTAGTAGTCAACAGCTAACCCCCCCCCCAAAAAAAAAAAAAAAAAAAAAAGCCTTTTGATTCCAATATCCCAAAGTAACTTCCATTGATTTGTTTTCCTTTAGGTGTTACGTCAAAATCTGCAACCCTTCTTTGTTGCTTCTTGCCCCTCTATTTATCTGTCATATTGGCGATGTGCTGATATTATGAAGTAAAATGACATGTTGATCACTTTTAGGAGTGAAAGAGTTCAAAGTCTTCGAAAGTTTGGTTGTTCACTGTTTAGTCCTTTCAGATGGGAGGATGACACAATTCTAACGATCGTCATGTTTCTCTTTCTCTGAGTCTCATCACAAATACCACGTTATATGTAAGATACATTTGCAGGCATGTAAGATCATTATCTTTCCGAGAGCAAACACCACTCTTTGATGACTCTGAATCTTTGGCGTTGTACCCTCTTTGACTTGCGCTTTGCTTTCAGTATAACAAGTTTCTAACAGATTAAATAATTCTAGAATAGGGAAGCCACTTCTGTCTAGTCGATATCAGTACTCTCACATCAGGTTACATTAAGAGTAAAGTAAAAAGGATTCAGCAAACACGAAAAGGAAACTTAAACAACGATTTCACCTCCTTTTTTTTTCAAATCCGTCAATAGATCTACCAGAAAAAGGTAAAATATCTATACTATCTACTTCTACTATCTCCTTCGCATTGTTGCACAGTTAGTCGCTTTGTGGGGACAGCTAACCTTAATTCTTGCCTTTTGGTGATTGTATAAACGTGGCTACCCTTTGTAATATTTTTTGCTCACCTTCAGAAGCTGCTTGACTTCACTTTCAATAAGTGCCTGTAACTCAGGACTCGATTTCGAAACATCCTTCACTTGAACCATACCGACCTGAGAAAGCAGAAAGAGATATATCCATTCGTCTTCCTTGACTTTTTTTTTTAATGATTTAGTTACTTCTACAATATAACAATTGATGAGAAGCGTTGCGAGAAACTTGGCAGCATAAGCGACAGAAAACCTCTCCAAAATTGGCCTTATAGATAAAGAACGACGATAGAAGGATAAAATGATGAACTGAATGCTTGCATGATTTTTCGATTGCTCTTCTTCCACAATCCGCCATGTTGAACGCACAACTGTTGACATCAAAGCAAGGCCAGTTGTGGTCAAACTCATGGCGGCGTTGCTAACTCTTTGGGTTCTTCCGAGTTTTCGCTGCTGTCGGGGAAGGCTACACGTGTTCCATGGAAACACCACTCACATGGTCAACACGAAAACTCGAAACACACATTTCCGTTCGAGAGACTACTTATAAATGACTTCCAGGAGCTTCCCTCTCTTTCTACTTATTGTCACTTATTCCAATATGCTCAGTCCAAACAACATGTTGTATCTCCTAAACGTACCTTGTCACTCATGCCGTACATAGACACCATGGCGTGTGCAATCTTGTTTGACGCTTCCATGTCGCTTGCGGCTCCTAACAGATACATAAACAAACAAAAAAAGAATTAAAATAGCGCGAAGGGACTATGTAAAAACACCTGCTCATGAAGCCAACATTATTACAGAGAAACAATCATCTAACCTCCGTGCACTAAAGCCAGTTTTCCTAACTTGTGTCTAAATACATTGAACGTGTGACATTTATCTTACAAATAAGCTGTAAATTACACGCAGCCTTGTCACTTACCCATTGTTATGTTCTCTTTACCAAATATAATTTCCTCCGCCACACGGCCGCCCATTGCCACATCCAGTCGTGCTAGAAGCTGGGCTCTAGACCAGTTTAACTCGTCTTTCTCAGGGAGCATGGCGACCTTTAAACAAAGAAGAAGAATGTGTTGAGTTACGGAGTAACGGACCTGTCTACCCTCTTTTCTTCATGGATGGTATCTGAAGGTTTCGCTCCATTGGATTTCTTTTAAATTAAGGTTAGGAGGTTGAAGATCTCGGCGGCACACCTTGCATAAACTTTTCCTCAGGCAAAGAAATGCAGCAAAACGTTTACGAACATTATACTTACCATTCCCAGGGACTGACCCCGCGGTACAATGGTTGCTTTATGTATCGGCAGAGCTTCAGGAGTATAAAGCGCCACGAGCGCATGTCCTCCCTCGTGATACGCCACAAGTTCCCTGTTCTTGGCTTCAATGACTTTACTTTTCCTTTCGGGACCTACAGCAATACGAGACAATATTGAGCACAAACAAACCCACGGACCAGTGGAACACGCACTGGCCTCGTTGTGTGCGCGTGGGATCACGGATTGAAAGGTCTCGTTTTGAGGAATGATCAGGCAGTTCTCTCGTGTTATCCGATCCAGGAAGAGAGGAATACTACTAATCGCATCATGCTTAGGAAACACGGATAAGCTCAAGCATTTGAGCCATTTGGATGTAGGGGTCGTAAGAATTCACCCAAACCTTACCATCAGTTTTAGACGGCTTACATTGGATACTTTTCGGTGAAACATTGTACAAAAACAAAATAGTTAAACTGAATATGCTAACGAAAACACTCATCAGAGATGAAATACTAAGCCAAAGAATGAAAAAGAAAAACGACCGTCAGGATGAAAAGAATACTACCATCAACAACAAACCATGACATTGTAGCTTGTACGTGTTCGTCAAATTCTAAGATTGACCAGTCGCAGTCTCGGTGAGAATTTTTGAGCTTATTACTTCCCATACGCAGTTTGGAGCTCATGCAATTGAGCTGACAAGGCGGCGATTGAAAAAAACCAAAAAAAAAAATAAGGATAAACAAATGCAAATTAAAGATAAAGTAAAGCCAAACTTACCCATGATGATTTTGTCTTTAGCAAATTCAAGGTGCTTCGTTGAGACGCTCGCATCTCCTTCACTTGCTGCATAAATTGCTGCCACATTCACCAAGTTGGCTAAATCGGCACCTTTATAAAGAGAAAAGTCCATGCTATATATAAGGTACTGGTACCTCATATACATTCATATTTAACGTCACTATCCGCCTAAATTTTTAATATACGTCTAAAAATTTAGCTTTACAAAATAACGTCAATACTATGTGCGCTGTCACTGTTCAACAGTATACGTCTAGGGGTTTGCACAACTGTCTCAAACTGTCCTAACTCTACATATTTAGAAGAGGAAATGAAATCAGGAGGGCGGTTCTCTAATGCTCGACTACAGATTAAGTTCGACAGAATTTTTGACCTTCATACCTGAGAAACCAACAGTTCCTCTTGCAAGCACTTCTACATCGATTTCTGCAGAAAGAAACAGCAGGGGGAGATAAACACCAAACTCTATGAAAACTGGTTCGCAAGTTCAAGAAATAGTTGCTTCTAAATGCTGTTACCCTGCGCTTAAAGTGCAAAACAGTGAATCGCCGATATATACAGCATCTTCAATGCGGGGCAGGCTATTATCATTTTGGAGGCGGTGAGGGGGGGGGTTTCCCACAAAATTGTGAGAAAGTTACGAAACCACAAAGAAGTATTAGTCAGCCGACGGTTTCATATGACTCATAATTTGAATGGGATTAGAATAGGCATACCTTCAGCAACTTGTACTTTCTTCAGATGCACCTTGAGGATGTCATGTCGCCCTTTCACATCCGGCATGGGTACCGTTATCTTAGTGTCAAATCGGCCAGGTCTGATAAGAGCCCTGTGTGATGCACATTATGAAGGATTAGTTCTAATAAAAATAGGTTCCGCTGTTAAAAACATCCAATTTTCCTTGTGTTTCAGTAATCTCTGTCATGTCATATTAATTTTTTTATTGCCAAAAGGTTGTTCTAAAGAAACAGCATTAAATATGTATGAAAAATAAAAAAAAGAAAAAAAATTAAAAAATGATACGAAACATACTTGTCTAAAACCTCTGGGAAGTTTGTTGCTCCAATAACGACTATTCCTTCTCCTGTATCAAACCTGTCAAAAAGATGTTTCATGTATGAGACAAAGCGTAATATACATTCTCTCCATGTGATACTTGCTTCAAGTCTGGCAGAGAGATTATTCAGTATTCGGAAAAAACTATATCAGCTGGTTTAATCAAGTTTATTAGTAAACTTTTGTGGGGCTGAAAAGCCACCTTTAATTCAGACAAAAAGATTATTCTCGTTATTCCTTGTGTTTTACAATATTTATAATTCATAGCTAAATAATAAAAAAAGAAAATGTAATTCGAATCAGGGATTAAATTGAAACACACCATGCATTTGTATGCATACATGTATCACGTTTTAAGTACAACTCAGTAGTTATAAAGCTGGCTACATCACTGAAGAATTATCTTTGTGCTTCACTCAAAATAAAATTTTAGTGCTCAATGAGTCACAAAAAAATCCTTTCAAATGTGTAGAACTGATCTTTTCCAAAAAAGGAGCCACAGGAAAGAAAACAAGTACTCACCCATCCAATTCAACAAGCAACTGATTCAGGGTCATTCTGGAATATGGCTGATGATCATGGACAATTCTTGTCCCACCAATCGCGTCCAACTCATCAATGAACACTATGCAGGGGGCATGCTCTTTTGCAGCAGCTAAAATTAAAACAAAGATAGTGATTGTTGACATTCCTTTTGCACAGAATTGTATCAAATCTTTATCAAATTCTCATGAGGAAACTGACACATTAACAATAATAATTATCAACAGCCTGGGAGCAGGTTAAGGGTGAGGTACATCCTGCACCCTGAACTCTTAGCCACACCCTTGTCTTCACTCACCAAAGAGATTCCTGACTCGAGCAGCTCCAACACCAACAAACATTTCATCAAACTCTGAACCAGAGCAGAAGAAGAAAGGAACCCCAGCCTCACCAGCAACAGCCTTGGCAAGAAGAGTCTTGCCTGTTCCTGGTGAGCCAATGAGAAGAACTCCTACGAACAACACAAAATAACATCAATTAGAGAATGAAAACAAAAGAAAAAAGAATTGAGTTGACCTTGGCTTCTCACCTGTTGGCATCTTGCCTCCAAGTCTTTTAAATCTCTCTGGATTTCTTAGAAACTCCACCACATCCTTTAATTCTTGCTTTGCTTCATCCACCTGAACAATGGAGGAAATTTTGGCACCGTGAGTTTACATTCATAACATGTACAAATTAATCACACAAAAATTCTGTGTTTCCCATCTCAAAAGTCTTGAAGAATCAGCTCAAATTTTTGAAAACCACTTTATCCTGAAGAAAATTCAAGAATCTAGGATCGGGAATTGTGGATCGAGGGGACTGTCTACATTATTTTTGGCAATGCTTTACATACAAAAGCAGAAATTTCTAATTGAAGCACTGTCAATTTCAAAACAATTTTAGGGCCAAGGAATGGAAAGTTAAATCAAGCCTTGCTGGGAGTTACATCACACACCTTTCTTAGGAACATATGTTGGTGAGTAAAACAGTTTTATTTAATTGAGCTGAGACTGCAAGGGTAGGGTAGAGAGAGCCAAATCAAGAATGAGACCAACAGCTTGGATGCTGACCCAATTCATACAACATTTACAGGGACAGCAATCTACAGAAATCTGTCAAGATGTTTGATTTTGCTACAGACTTACCCCCTGAACATCACTAAATCTGCACTTTCTGTCTGTGGTGTTGGGCTGAATATCTTTGTGACCTGAAGTTACTGTGAGTCAAAATAACAAAAAACATGCTCATCATGCACCACAGATTGAGTGGCTAAATATAACAACAACACATTACAAATCTTATTAGCACATACAAGTCAAAGTGAGTGTGACCATAAAAAAAATGCTTTGATTGATGTACAACCAGCAATAGTCCAACTAATCACTGAAGGCTACTTATCAAAATTGGATGGCAGTGAGACAGGGGTCACATTAAATCATTACTTTGACTGTTGCTAGGAACACGCACTGAATTCGATGAAATCTTGCCAGCAATTTAAAATATTGAAATTACAATAAATTTGTACAACAAGCAGAGGTTGGGGGTAACAAAAATTTTTTTTTTTTTTTTTTAAATAAATGAGAAAGCAAGTCCAACAGTCTGGGGAATACAAATTTCAGACACTACAAATGAAGCTGGACAGGTGCTTGTTTAGGTTTTTGTATCATCAAATCAAAACACACTAAAAGTTATAATTCACAGAACAGCTATGCTGATAACACCTATTCATATGCACAGGATATAATGCCTACATTTGGGTGGGTGCCTAGATTTCAGTTCCAGGATCAAATTGGAAAGCTTATAGCCAATCACCCTTGAGAAAATTGATGTTACAATTTGGATCATTGCATTAATAAAAAGTAATAATTACTTCACTTGATAACAGTAACTTTAGACTGTTCTATAACACCTCACACTTACATTTCATTTGAAGTTGCCCCTCAATCAGCGAGGTGATCAGAAAAAGGGCAATCAAAAATCTGACTGTGTTCCAAAATTGTTCGCGGAAGAATGAACCTGCAAAGTAACAGAGTAAAATCTATCACTGAAGTATTTTTCAAACAATAAATTTTCTGTGTTATGAAGGTATAGTATATGTCAAAGCCTCCTGGATCAACCAGAAGTGTCTTCCTGAAAAAAAAGAACTATACTGAGCTCACCTTTCTGGTTTTGAGTAATGACATGTATTGGACTGTCCTCAGTCCCAGTTTGAACTAAAGGAGAGGTTGGTGCCCCATGGGATGATGTACTACCATAATCATTGCCTGAAGAAAAGATCTAAACACAGACATACACACAAAAAAACAAAGTATAAGGGCCAATTATCAATGTCTTAAGGATAAGAATCCCTATCCAAAAACCCCCCACCCTCATCAGGAGACCAAAGTTTTTCATGAACCCACCCTCCCTTCCCCCTTAAAAAACCTAAGATACAAGAAAGAGCTTAATGACATTGGACTAAAATTATGCTGGGCCAATTTTTTGAAAGTGCCCATTCTCTGAAAAGCCCCCTCATCTAGAACCCATGTCGGTTCCCTCAACAGTAATTGTATAATTGTATTCAGGAAAGCTCAAGTGGCCAGTGAAGAATAAAGTCCTACTATAAGGTGAATTAACATCTCTTTTCCTCAGACTATAAATATTTTCCTTTCAGTAAAAAATACACATATGCATACATATTAGCATTTAACTAGAATATAGGACAGAAGTTGCAGCTTCTCAAAACAAAGATATCTTGGAATTGGTACAACCTTTGCAAAACTCAAATGCACAAAAAATAAATATTTAGTTTTATACCTTTTTCATGTCAACTTGGTTAACTCTGTCTGTCATCACCAGTGCCTGTAAATTTTAACATAACAAAGCTAATTCAGCTGCATCTTACTAAATGAAATAATTTGATCAGTTATGAAAGGATTTATCAAGGACTGATAATCTCATCAATTTCAAAATAATTTAGTAATCTTTATTAACTAAACTTTATATATTGTATTTACTTTGCAAAAAACCCAGGCACAAAAAAATTAAACTTAGGCAACTTTACCTTCAAGTATTCATTTGTCACAGATTGGTCTATGGCATACTTTCCACTCTCATATCTCCTCACAACATAATTTGGATCCTCCTGAACCAAGGCCTGAAAGTTACACACAGATGGTTATAACACAATCATTCCTGCTTGTCTTACAATCCATTTTATTCATAACAACTATCTTTAAATAGATTTGTACCATGTGAGCACACAAGCTAACATAAACTGACCCGTAAATATTCTGATTGAGCCCTGGGATTGTGTTCTTCTGCATTAGCTCTCTCCTCCAGCTGCTGTATTCGCCGCGAAGAATATGAATGTATTCCCCTGTTTTGGGTGTGAACTACAGTAAAGGAGATCAAAAATTTGCAGTCACATTTTTAACATAATTTAGCCACAACAGGACTGTAGTGAAATTTATATCACAGGTAACCCTACTTTATATGCTGTGAGTACTTTATCAGCAGTGTTCTCAAGCTAGGGACCTTACATTTGGCTAAACATATTATCATGCACAGTTGATACACTTACATGATGTGTGTAGCCATGGTATTTTTGAAAAAGATGTCATGAAGATGGATGACTTGTGTCTTGAATAATCAGTTATACTTGAAAATCCTGTCAAGAAAAGATGCAATCAGTAAGTCAACAACTAAGTGAGACAAATTCTCAAGTTATGCAATAGCTTTGTCAACTTTTTCCAGAGTTGCTATCTAGTGACCTAAAGAGAGGGCATGAATTTATCCTATACTAAAGCTTGCAAAACATGTGGTACTAAAGAGATAGGCTACTTCTGTTGCAGGTTTAGCTTCAAAATTATTGAAATTCTGCCAAAACTATTTTAAAGGGTTAATTAAAAACAGTTTAAAAAATTTTCAGACTCACAGCCCAAAGTTTCTCAGTTTTAGGTGTGCTTTTAACAGTTTTACCATTACATCTACAGTATCACTAAATGAAACAATTCAGCTTTACCATGTTTGTTCTTGAAAAATGAATCTGAAGAGACATGAGATACTCTCCACAAGTTATCAGTGCTGTTTGTGTTACACTGACAGATAGACAAAGCTGTTGTCAGCTGAGATAACAGTTCAGCTGGAATAGATGACAAACCAAATTCTTCAAGAAATGTAGTGTAAGGATCCTAAAAGTGAAAAGAAAAAACTATGACAACTAGTACTCATAGTTGATATAGAAGGTATATAATAAAGTACACATGACAGTTATAAGCGCAAAAACAAATTGAAGAAAAGATGAAAACTCCTGACCCAGATGCAATCACATTGAGACTTTGTACCACAGAAATTGGAAATTTATTGTCAATTTGAGACATTTACAACTTCATTTGTACTAGCCCAATCAAAACTTCCCTATCAAAAGAAAATAATTAGACTTAAAATATCAGATAAATAATGTTTGCGCTATATGAAAATAAGTATGGATTCTCCATAATTAGGTCCGAGATACAATCAGGATTTGAGTAACTGGGCTGCGTTGTTTGAAAGGGGGCTAACGTTAATCTAGGATTAAAAGTTAACCTTGTCTTCAATTTCTCATGTAGAAGAGCATGTATAAATGTAAGAGCTGAGGATTTGTTGGGGGAATTATCTCAATACGACTTGAAAATAACAAGAAAAAAATACGAAAGAAAAATCCCCTTGAGAAGCTATTTAACTGAATCAAAAATTTACACTAACGCAGGGTTAGGTTAACGGTGTTTCAAAGAACCTGGCCCTGGGCTTTCATCCCTAGACACTTCCCCTAACCTTCTGAAAAGATGGAATGGTTGTGTGGATGCACATATCTCTGGTTAAGAATTAACTTTTTAAACTTACACTGTCAGATGTTACTGTGTCTGAGGTAGTTGCCACACTTGGTTCTGTTTTTACTTTTGAGTTGTTATCATGCTGTGTTTTAGTCTGTATATATGACATACACCTTCCAATGGATGACTTCTTGACACTATTTAACACTGTTGTCATTTGGTAAAGAAGTCCTCCAGCCTAGAGAACACAGAAAATAATTGATGAAGAAAATAAAAACACATAAATACTTGATTGAATGAATGGAAAAAAAGAAACAAATTCCAATTGAACGTTAAAACTGTTGAGTTAAAAGAGGGGCTTATGATAACAGAGTAAGTGCCTTGTCCTTTTCTGGACATAAACCCCAGATAAGGAGATTAGAATGACAACTCAATCTGATGATCACTACTTTGTTATCACTTCTAACAGCACCATAATAAACATCTCTCTGCACAGCTCAAGTTAGTGGATACACAGGTATGTTTATTGGCTGTAACTCCACGAAATTAAAATTTAGAACATGGACATCCTTTATTATGACAGGAAATTTTTGGTACAACTGCAAAAAAAGAGAGGGAGCTAGTAATAAGCACTTCCTGTGCACTACATCTAATCAATTTCGATTTAATTTTAAAGAGGTTCAGAAGTTATGATATTCGTATCACATCGATCTTCGCAGAAAAACTCGCATACTTAGTTTACGCAAAAAGCTTTACAGTCCAGTTACTACCGCTGTGTGCCATGCTTGAATCCATCTTTTCGCAAAACGTTAAAAGCTACGATCGAGTATACACCAAAGATGTGACAAGAGAAACGAAATGTGACAGGGAAATAAAGAACAGTGTTTAATATGACGTAGAGAATTGTGAGACAAGCACGTGAGACAAACACGGGAAAATTAAAAAAGTTCATTGCTTTACCGGCATAAAACATGTTTGAGATACCTGAGGGGTGATTCCTGAAGGAGAAAACATCTTTTGCCTGTTAGTACCAAAATTGAATCACCGCATAGGAAGTAGATTCCGAGAATTTAGTTACACAACATAATCACAGAGGCCATTATACTTTCCTTCTGAGGCATGAATGTTGCATCATGGGTCTAGGTGGTGAGCCGCTGACTAAAATAAACGCGGGAAACATAGAAGTTGAGTACAGTGCACCGTCCCTGAGAGAAAAAGAAGGCCTCAGGGGAGAGGGGAGGGGGGGCTTCGGCGGAATTTGTTTTGGTACCCCAAGCCCAGGATAGTTAGTAATGGGTAATACGATGCCGTGTAATATCACCACTGCCGTAAAATCAAGTCTAAAGATGTTTGTGAAAAAAGCTGTGGCAGATTTGAAAAGAAAATCATACGCACTTGTTCTTAAAAAATGAATGGACGGTATTATAAATATACGAAGTTTGGGGAGCCCTTGAGAAGCGAGTGTTACGTAAGCTACACGTTGAGCAAGTCTTGGACTTCCCCTGTGCTCTTCAAATAATTCAAATGACCCATTTTTTGAAATTTCAACGTTTATTCATCCGTATTATTGGATACGGAATGGCTTCAAAAATTATTAAAAAGAAAAAAAAGATTTCGTTGTAAGCAAAGGAATTTAATTCTAGCGTCCAAACTTCTTAACTACGCCCCAGGTTGCTCGCTTCTCTACATTACGTACTTGAATGAGTTACGACATCGTGACGATTACAATCCGTGATCTCGCGTAACCATAACAACTGCACAGACTAGGAAGATTTCCGATTTCATTGGGAGTGGCTACATGCGTGTGTAAATAACGAGTAGTTATGGTTATAAAAAACGCCAAATGGAATTATAAACTCTCTGTGCAAAACAATATCAGGCGATGATGAGAATGAAAAAGAATCCAACCGACACGATGTCCTTTTTAATACTTATAGGTGTGAGTTTTTGATCTTTCTGGCCACAAGCAACTACGATCCATTTTAGGAATCACTCGGAGACGTAAAATGACAATTAAGGTAGGTGTCTAGCTTCACCACTTTTCATTGCACCTTTCGTAAAGAGTTTTTCAGTTAATCTGACTTATCATGTGACCATTGTTTCACTCGTTGTTTAAGATTTCGGACCTCGTTTATCTTTATCACTTTCACTAAATCTCTTAAAGATAGGGCGCGTGCAAATGACCGTTGGCTATGACGCATCGAGATCGTTTAATTTAGATCAAAATTAGTGAGGAAAAACCGAAATTATTTCTCTTCTATTTAAAGTCGAATGAAAAATGGGCTGGAAAGTTCTTTTGGTAATTATTTTGCTGACGACTGACTGACTGATCGTTTGACTGACTAACTGATTGACTGACTAACTGGCTGATTGACTAAGTGACTGACGGACTAACTGACTCACAGAAAGGTGGACGGAAGAATCGAGCGAACAAAGAGTGTGTGTGTGTGTGTTTCTCATTGTCCTTTGGTCATGTGCACCGTGGCATGAAATTTGGGACGTCGTTTTCCAAGATCTTGATTAATGGCTCCTAAAGATTTTTAGAGCACCAATCTCTGAATATGTTGAGATCAACTAAAGGAATCAAACAAACAAACGAAAAAAGATCGATCTATTCATCCATCGATCAAACACAGAAAAACAATTTCCTCTTTCACTTTTATTTTCATTGTTGAGGAACTGGCTATTTAGGAAGAAACATAAAAAGAAGAAACATTAATTAAAAAATATAGTAGAAAAATGACTCAAAATAACCTTATTCAGTTTATTTTGGGCATTAGTTGCTATATTTTTGACGAACTGAGGTCTTGTGAAGGTAAGTCTCTTACACGGGGGTATCTCAAAGTCCTTTCTCCCATCACAGATAATTTTTCTTTTAAAATACATGTCATTGCTGCGATATACTTACTTTTCCATCCTATTTTCTATCTTCTGTTTCTGCATTACATTAGTTCCAAGTGCTCTATAGTCCTTCTCTTCTCCGCTTTCCAGCCGTTCTGATTGTTCCGACCGTTCCTGTGTTTCAGGCCTCGTATCCTAGATTTCCGGTATCCCTTGACACTCACCAAAGCGGCAGTTCGAGATCGACCGGTTCATTACGACAAGGCTAACCTGCAGAACAGTCGCAATTTTGACGATAACACAGCTGAAATATCTCATTGTCATCATTTTAGTCAGCCTTTTTACCTTATAGACATGTCTGATGAGGTGGAGAAGAAGCTTGATGTAGAGAATTCCAAGTCAAACCCGGAGGAAAGCCCGAAGGAACAAGCCGCCGGTGATGATGAGTCTACGGAACAGAAAAAAAAATTTTCCGTTCTGAAGGTGAAATTTGGACCAGATTCTTCTGGAGACACAAATGGAGAACACTCGAATGAGTCTTCTTCACCATCCAGTCCGATCGAAAGCCCGCGAAGCCCTGAACATTTCACTCACGGTTACGCTACCAACGAAGCCATCCCCATGACTATCTTCTATCGCAGTCAGCACTCGCACGGACACGGTGGAAAACAACGGCCCACACTGCAGCAACTACGAAAAGGCTTAGAAAATGACAAGGTATGAATGTATTTTAAGAGTGGTCAACCGTTGAAGTACGAACGCTCGTGGGCTTTTCATTTTCAGTTTGGTGAATTTTTGAATTTTCGTTCACTTGTCACGTGCAATGTGGTCTTGCGTGTATCAAGATGGGTGTGAAATCTTCCGACCGGTGAATGTTTTCCATTTTTGATAAAGTTATCGTGATTAGGGGTTTAGACGATGTTATTTTGATACGCGGCGGTAAATCTAATTTGTATGCTGAGTGAACGAAATTAATGATGGTTCACTGGAGAATAAAGCTCCCAGGATTGCGAAAACAACCGAGAAACACAGTACCTTAGCTACAGAGTTCTCTAGTCCGTTTGATGTTTATAAACAAAGCATTGCCGTGTAATTAAGTCACATCACTGAAGAAAACATTATAAAATTTAAAATATTGCTGCAAAGTCTAAATGTGTTTGTATCCTTGACACGCACCACTTGGTTAAATGAACTGATGATCAAAAACACTCGCGCCTATATTGATTTTATGGGCAGCTCGCTAACCGTTTTTGATTGTAAAAGCTCCGTCAAAGCTTCTTAAAAGTTAAATTTGATTCAATTTATAAAACTCGGCCTGCGGACTAGACACGAAAGTTGTACTTGAGCCATGTAGAAATTAGTAGCTTATGTGATTAAAAAATATGCAAATACGTACGAAATTGATTTTAGGTGTGGTAAAAAATCACAATATTCAGTTACCGAGATATGTTTACCTTTTGAGCAATCGATTATAGAACCTCTCTTGGTTTGTTGAATTATTGATTTGTGCAGCATGTTTGAACAACCACAGAAAATGGCCCATGATTTTCAAACTTTTCAACCATTTTTCCAACATTGCAAGTAGATTATTATGAGGACAGAAAATGTGGCCATTATTTTTAAAAAGTAACCAGTTTAAGTTCACCGTTATTGTGAAATATCACGTTTTGATTAAAATCAGAACAATTTCATATTTCAGGTGTTGTATAATTTATTATCTGTAAAATTATTGAGATAAGTTTTAAAAATTTGATACAAAATAAAGATATTTACAGCTGTATGACCATTTCTGGTATATGTGCTGTTTATTTATACTAAAACTGCTGGCATACATGATCAACTCTTTTGTAATGGAACAACATTGAATTAAATGATTTATATATGGTACATTGATAAATTGGACTGGCCTGCAAGCAGGCAAGTTAATCTTTACTTGCCTGAAAAAACTGATGACTTTCTAAGAGTAATGCAGTAGTTTTGATTGTGGCGTAGTAATCAAAAACACTCAAACAACCTGAAATTGCTGACCACAAATAAAATATAACATGAAAAAATCTTAATTGTGTTGGTGGTAAATCAGTTGGCTACTTACAAGTGAAGCCTAAGGGGTTACACTAAGGACTAAGCCAAGTGATTTGTACTCATTCCAAATTTTCATTTATTTTTTAGGCGGAATTTATAGAGGAAACTGCCCCTCTGGATGATAGCAGATTAGAAGATGGCCAGGATTCTATAGAAATAAGAAATGGAAAGAGTGCACCAAAGTTTGGTTGGATCAAAGGTGTGCTTTTTGGCTGTCTGCTCAACATATGGGGTGTGATGCTTTATTTACGGCTCTCCTGGGTGGTGGGACAAGCTGGAATTGCTTTGGCTTCTCTCATTGTGATCATGTCTGCTGTGGTAACTACTCTGACGACATTATCATTATCTGCAGTTTGTACCAATGGTGAAGTCAAAGGAGGTGAGTGGTTATCATGTGGCATGATGCATCATATTATGAGGGGGGCATTGGGATTTTTGGTTCTGTGGTTTTGGCTATTTTTTAGACCAATTTTTCGGTTTTTGCACCAAAAAACTTGGGTTTTTCAGTTTTGGTGTTCATTGGGGTTTGCAGATTTTCAGTTTTTTAGCATTTGGTTTTTGGTTTTCATGAAAAATACTAACAGGTTTTTGGATTTGATATCTGATGCAGTTTTTGGTTTTTCCTATTTGACCTAAATGGGTTCTGGTTTCTCTTCGATCTAAGGGGCAATAACACACTTCCGCTGATCTCGGGTAGCTGCTAAATGCAAATGTTATCGAGAGGAATGCGTGACAAACCAATTGAAATATTATTGGGATCCCTCCCCCAAAGTGGGGGGGGGGGAGGGTGTGGTTACATATAGGGTACAGCTAAGGACAGAATATTGCCAGAGTTTCTTTATCAATGCCACCTCAAAGTTGGTGACCAAATTACAGGCCACATGTGACTGATTGATTCAACATTCCAATAGAATCTCCAGACTTTCTGGTCTTAGTTTGCAAATGGAAGTGTTAGATTAGGGATTTTTGATGACACTTTCCAGAGCTATAGCTATTTGTGACTGCAAAATTGCAATTCTATTGAGGACTTTTGTGCAACTTTCCTTTATTTAATTAGGCTCTATTACCAGCTGCTGAGTCCACAGAGACCACGCTCGAGGTCCTCGAGAGAGTAGCTGTTAATTTAAGCAGATACTAGAAGATACAAATGCCAAGCCCATGGCATTCATAAATCCTGTAATGAAATTATTGTAGTTTACTCTGTATGCTCCACTTGTCACCACTGTATTGGATCAATCAGGGTTTTAATAACTGGGATGTGAAAATGTATCGGTTTTGACAGTTTTGCATGTGGTTTTCAGTTTTTATTGCATTTTTTTTCGGTTTTTTGGTTTTGGATGATTTTTTCTACAGTTTTGCAGTTTCTAATAGGCCCTAATGCCCCCCTCCATTATTATAGGTACTGACTTGTCATAGCACAGCACTGTCCAGTATTCTGTGCTATATTATATACCTATTTATGCATTTATCATTGACTAATCAGGATGGAATATTTTTTTGAGTATGTGATAAGTCCCTGAAATATTTTAAGCACATTGGGTGACATAAGTTGCCACGACAGAATTTTTCCTGACAATATTGATGCAATATCAAACAGAAAAGTGATTAAGATACAATACATACAATACAATATTTTTCTATTACAGCTCCCCTATAGGAGGCTATTCTGTCGTAATATACAGTGATAGAAAATACACAATAATACATTGCAATGGGGTGAAAAATATTTACATGTGTTTGCAAAAAAAATATCTACATATAACGTTCATTAGGAGATTATAAGTTAATCCATCACCAATTTCTTTCAAAGTAACACAATAAGAATTGTATAACAGACAGTATGGAGAATTACTAATTAATAAGATCTTGAAGTCAAAATGGTTTAGCATCCTGGGTGATGTATGTTACTATCAGGCACCTAATTTCCCCAAACACAATTCACTGATGCAAATTAAATATTCAGTAAACATACTTTTCTTGTAGGTGGTGCCTATTATCTCATTTCCCGCAGTCTAGGGCCTGAGTTTGGAGGCTCCATTGGCATAATCTTCTCAGTAGCCAGTGCTGTGGCAACAGCAATGTACGTGGTTGGTTTTTCAGAAACGGTGCGGGATATCCTCCGGGATAACGGCTCCCTTATAGTAGATGAGTCCAATGACATACGCATTGTGGGCCTCATAACTGTTGTCATTCTCCTCGGCATCACCATGATTGGGTTAAAGTGGGTTGTACGTGCACAAATGTTACTTCTTATAGTACTAGTTATTTCCATTCTTAATGTGCTGATTGGCACTTTCATTGGGCCACAGTCTGAGGAAAGCAGAAGCAGAGGTTTTGTTGGGTACCAAAAGGATGTGTTTGAGACCAATTTGGGTCCTGGTTATAAAGGCGAGAGTTTCTTCTCTGTCTTTGCAGTCTTCTTTCCTGCTGCAACAGGGATTTTAGCTGGGGTGAATATATCTGGTGATCTCAAAGATGTGCACAAGGCTGTTCCAAAGGGGACCTTGCTGGCCATTCTAATCAGCACCATTGTGTATGTCATGCTTGCTTGGTTTGTGGGTGGATGCGTCGAGAGAGAAGCTCTGGGGTTTGTGCAGGAGGTGTTGCAAAATAAGACTTTGGCTTCTTGTGTAGAACAGGAGTGTAGATATGGGCTTCTAAATGATTTTCAGGTAAGGTTTCCTTTAAAAAAACAAAGCATATACTGTTAAATTTTTTCAAAATGCTTGCACATATGTCACTGGTATTCCATCCATCTTATTCATTTCAACCCTATAATTCCCAAGATCTGATCGTTAATTCTCTGGCCTCTACCTTCTACACATCTCTTTGTAAATGAGTCACAAGAATTTGGTGTTATTTCAAGATAACATTCTCATTCCCAGTTTTCTTTATGTTATAATTATGTACATGTGGAGAGAAATTACATGCGAGTCACTTATGGGAGTTATAGGGTTTTAAAAGAATAGCTTGGCTTGCAAATTCTTTGGCTCAGGTCTCTTTGTAGCCACCCTGTCACAAGAGGTCATTCCACTGAGAACAGGGTTGTTCTGCTGATTTACCTCGATAATTCCATGGATAAAGTCTTCTGACTTCTAGTGAGAATTATGAGTTAAAATAGCTGGCTTAGATGCTATTGAAGGTCATTTGGCCTCTTTGTGTTGCATTTGCACTTACATGTAGTATTAATACAGTATATACAACTTTCCCCAAAGACTGAGGCCAATTACTTCGAAATTTGAGTTATCAATTGATTAATTGATCCCTAACTTATTTAAGTAGTTATCTTTTAGTAAATTTATCTTTTAGGTTATGGAGGAAGTGTCGGGATGGGGTCCAATTGTAACAGCAGGCATCTTTGCATCCACTTTGTCCTCTGCACTTGCGAGTCTTGTCGGGGCACCCAAAGCATTCCAAGCAGTTTGCAAAGACAAGCTTTTTCCTTACATAGATTTCTTTGGTGTTGGTTATGGGCCTGGCAATGAACCTCGTAGGGGCTACATCTTGGCTTTCTTCGTAGCGGCAGCGTTCATTGCCATCGGAGATCTCAACGTGATTGCCCCAATCATATCCAACTTTTTCCTCATTGTGTACGCTCTCATTAACTACGCCGTGTTTGCTGCCTCGTTATCGCGTTCTCCGGGATGGCGGCCCTCGTTTAAGTACTACAACATGTGGGTGTCGCTGTTAGGGGCCTTGCTGTGTATCGCTATGATGTTCCTTATCAACTGGTGGGCCGCACTGTTGACAATATTCATTGTGCTGATATTGTACAAGTATGTCGACTTCACCAAACCTCAGGTTAGACTTGAAATGCGAAGGAAAGTGTGTGGTTTTATATTTTAGTCGGTCCTTTGTAAAAAGGTTGGGGTACCATCAAAATCGTTAACCTCCAGGAGTGACTAGCATCTGATTTCTGCCTGTAGTATCACCCCTGAACCAATAAAGGAAATGATCACCAACTAAAGCAGTGTTCTCCTTTTCAGGCCGTAACCGGTAACATTTACCACCCGTAGTACCTCTTATTACCGTTTAAAATTGCTTGGAATTCTTGAAAATTCATCTGGCAAAAGGATTGCTTTACCGGTTTGAAAATTTATTTTACCTGTCGTGCTTAAAATAAGAGAGAACACTGCTAAAGGAGCACTAGATTTCTAATAAATTCTCAATGTGAACACCTGAGGAAATGGAAAGGGAGTTAGGGGTTTATAAACTAGTTTCCATGTAATGAGAAGATTTGCCATCTCTCGCTCTCCGAATAGACAAGTTACTGGACAACAGGAATCTGCGGTGTAACCATTTTAGCGTGGAAAGTAGAGGGGTTTTGCCGTAGAATGAAGGTGGAAGTTATTGATACCCGAGCTCTGAGAAGTTATCTCGTCAAGCGACAAATTTAAATTGATTTTCTAAAGCAATCCCATTGTCTTTTAGTCCGTGGCGACGAGCGAAAAAGCAAGCATTTTACTTCGAGCGCTCGCCGTTTCGCTCGTCTCAGTGACTGAGAGACCGCAACCGCCCAAACTAAGGCGGGGTTACATTCGTTTCGCTTCAACTCGCTTTGTAATTGTATTGGTAGAGAAACTAGCCTCGATTTCTTAGCTAATCAGAAGCAAAGTTAAGGCTAATCTTTGGTTAAGCTCGCTGGTTGTACCGCGCTCGAGAATGTCTATACATATACGTACTTGCTTTGAGTTCTCATCGACTCCTGGAGATATTTATCTTTTTCCTGATAGAAAAATCAACTAGTGCTTAACTCAGGTTTATAAGCATTAAATCTACCGCGGGGTTTTCGACAGTTTACTCAGCACCCTGTTCGTTTTCTCTCCTGCTACATACAGGTGAATTGGGGATCATCTGCGCAAGCGTACACTTTCGTGCAGGCCTTGCGCTACACTCGCCGATTGGATGGAATTGGTCATCACGTGAAAAACTTCCGTCCACATTGTTTAGTGCTAACCGGACATCCACACGACCGACCCAACCTTACATACCTAGTGTCCCAGATAACTAAAAACGTCAGCCTTATGGTGTACGCTAATGTGATAAAGGAAGCTTTTGGAATGCTCCCTGAAGACGAATCAGATGTCGAGTGGATGAGAAAACACAAGATCAAAGCTTTCCGCGCTGTGACCACAGGTAAACAATGTACTGCCGAATTACTGAAGAGTTGCCTTCTATTCAATTTTAATTTTTTGATTTCCGCCGGTGTGTATCAGTTTTCACTGTGACTAACGCTCGAAAAGTCAGCTTTAGAAACTCTCTGCGGTGGCCAACTTACATTTTCAACTCAGTTGGTAAAACCAATTTTATTTTATATCAGTTTTAGTCAACATGTTTTATTGTTTTCTTTTTCCTGTGATTCGTAATACATCCCCAAATTATATACGTTTTTCTTGTTTGAAGATATGTTTAATGGGTGGCAAATGGTTACATTTGTGTGCGAGGGGTTGCATTTCCGTGCTTTGTTCACGAAGCACAAGGGGCAAATGAATGACTGATAGACTATTGGTTATCAAGAGGGCATGATTATTTGATACTGATTTGCGAGTGTGCATTGACCTGGGGCTCTCACATGAAATGGGTTCTAAAAAAAAATCCCAGGAAAGCAGCACTCCTCTAAATTAGTACTAACATCGCTGCCCTACCCTTACAAAAAAAAGAGAGAGAATCTTTAGAAAATGCTCGAAATTAATCCGTAATTGCCTTCAGGTCCATGGAATCACAGAGGAAAACTTGTGTCGCATGTGTATTCGGTAAGAAGAGTTCATTTTCTCTACTGATGTCATCTCTCTGTTCCCATTTTCCCTCTCTACAGCGCCCAGTCTCCGCATGGGGGTGCAGTCCATGATTCACCTCACCGGACTGGGAAAGATGCGGCCAAACACGGTTGTCATGGGCTATAAGAATAACTGGACAGATAAGAGGTACTTAAGTGAGGTAGTAGACTATCTTGGCGTTATTAACGACGTCTTCGAGCTGAAGTATGGTCTGGTCATTCTTCGAATGAACGAAGAACAGAAGAAAAATTTCATCGTAGAGAAGGTGGATGAAAGCTCTTCGTCGGATTCGGACTCGATTATAGAAGAAGACGAATATCCTAAGCCCAAACGTTCCTCTCCGGCGAAAAAGTCAACGAACGAAGAGAGAGAAAGTCTTACTAGCCCTGAGAAGGCGTCCGAACTAACGTCCGAATCTTCGCCGACACCGGAGGTCAAGATTGCATTGAAAGAGAAACAAACGGGCACCATCGATGTCTGGTGGCTGTACGACGATGGTGGCCTGACGGTATTGCTGCCGTACCTGCTGACACTTCATCGTGCCTGGAAGAAGTGCAAATTGAGGTTTTTCTCAGCTAACATTCGCTCCAAGCACGAGGTGAATCCGCAAGGTTTGCAAATGGCAAACTTGTTAAAGAAGTTCCGCTTTGACGCTAGCTGCGTGGAGCAAGTTGAAATCAATGAACCGCCGTCGAAGGAGAGCATCGATGCTTTCAGACGTCTGCCAGTCAAAGAGGAGCTTGGAGAAGAGCCTATCAAAGACCAGAAAGTTCTTAGAACGATTCGCATCGGAGAACTCGTGCGGCAGCACTGCTCAGAGGAGACAAGGTTGGTCGTAATCTCCATTCCAGTCCCCGTCACTGACGTCACAACCCCTTTGATGTACATGAGTTGGCTTGAGGTGATGTCCGCTGACTTACCGCCGGTTCTACTCGTACGTGGCAATCAAACCAATGTGTTGACATTTTACTCGTAGTTTAGACTTTATTTTTTGGTCATAAACCTTTTCTTAGCCTACATACACGTCCTACGAAGGCGGTTTTGTTTCAATTTGATAGTTTAGCGAACTCAGCTCATACTGATAAATATTACTGGCGAAACAGAGAAAGCGAAGCGAAGAAAGTTGTCCTGTTTGAAAAATCTTGCTACCACGGAACTGATCCCACTTAAGTTTGGATTGTGAGACGTTAGCGTTTTTAAGGAATGCCAGTAATTTATCACCTTCCCTCCTCCCTCTTTTCCCCCCCCCCCCACCCCCCGAAGAAAAAAACGGAAAAAAAAGGAAAAAACTTCAAAATAGTCCGAAATGTTTAACTCATAGTGGAACACAGCTTACTTTACTCAGAAATTGCACTTCGTGCACTCTTTAGCTTCCATGATACAACTATTTCACAGCTGCTATCCTTCAAAAACACTTTTAAATTATATGTTAATGGCTTTAACATCTCATTGGTAAATAGTTGACGTCTTTTTAGCTTATTTATGCAACCGTCTAACCTTATGTACGATCATAGTGAGGTGTCGTTGATGGAGCTTATGCCAAAGGTTCCAATAGCGACACCTCTCTAATGCAAAACTAAAATGTTTAGGTTTCTAAAAATATTGCAAAGATCAGCGAGATGGGTATATCTGTCACAATTATTGGATGAAATTACCATTTCATGAAAAACAGCAGCAGTTTTACTCGTAAACAAAAAAATGCACTCGTGCCATACAGTTTGTCTTCCGTATTGGAAGACAGTGCTTGAGGTTGAAAGAGTTTTTTGAAAAGAATCAATCAAGAAGTAAACTTTAAGCTGAATCACCATTAATTTCCAGCATCGCGGTATCACTTCGATCACATTCTCACTCGATGAAAGTTAATAATAAATCCTTAAATCATTATCATGTACTGATAATTAGTAACGTATTGTAAGTTGTCCTACTTAAAACCGCGTGGTGTTGATGAGGAGATTGTCACCTGGTTTTCAGTGGGACAGTGTTAAACCCCGGTGTAAAAAATACTTTACGATAGGGTAAAATGACAGAAGTATATTTAGCCTGTATCGAGGCTTTGTATTGACGAGGCGACTGCTTCTGCCATAATAATTGGCACCAGTTAATATATTTTAGCAGTAAAAATTGACATGAGAATAAAATTGGTTTAGCAAATTGCCTTAAAGGGTTGAGGTAAAGAGCAGATTATATTATTAATGATTTGCATTCTTTTTGGACCAAACTGTTCAGTATTGTCTTAAGAAAGACCTAAATCTCAGTGCTCATATCTGCTCTCTGCGACTCTACGCTTATGAAACTGCCACCTACAATTCATATAGCAACACTACAGCTTTGATACTAACTCTTACCTAAGATCTGCATTAACTGTCTTCTTGGTTCGTTTCCAACCATTTGACAGTCGATTGCACGAAAACTTAGGCGATGATTTCGAATAATTCCTCCCTAACAACCCGATCTTCATATTGGTAATTCTTCTGTCGGTAATTCTTCTGCCTGTTTCAAAATAATTTAGTAATCTTTAATAACTAAACTTTATATATTGTATTTTCTTTACAGATGTCATCACTACAACTGGCTCTATGTTCTTTGCATAAGGCAACCTTACCTTTAAGTATTGATTTGTCACAGATTGGTCTGTAGCGTACTTTCCACTTTTATGTCTCTTCGCGACATAATTTAGATCCTCCAGAACCAAGGCCTGAAAGTTACACACAGATGGTTATATCACAATCATTCCCGCTTGTGTTAAAAAAAGCAGAGGGGTACTGAGAAGAGAGAAAAAAAGGCCTTAGGGAGAGGGGAGGGGAGACTTCCGATAGGGAATTTTTCTTTGGTACCCCAAGCCCGGTGATAGTTGACAATGGGTAATACGGTGCCGTGTAATATCACCATAGCCGTCAAATCAAGTATAAGGATTTTTGTGTAAAAAGGCTGTGGCAGATTTGAAAAGAAAATCATACGCACTTGTTCTTAAAAAATAATTGGACGGAAATATAAATATGGGGAGCTCGGAGAGTCCTTGAGAAGCGAGAGTTCCTGTAAGCTACACCTTGAGCAAGTGTTGCGCTTCATTCGTGCTCTTCAAATAATTTTCCTTTAGCACCCATCAGCCCGTATCTCGATGTGTACGTCTTATACATGAACTCATTTTTGAAATTTCAACGTTTATTCATCTATATGATTGGAATGGCTTCAAAAAATGATGAAAAAAGAAAATATTCGTTGTAAGCAAAGCAAATTGAATTCTAGCGTGCAAATTTCTTAACTCCGACCCAGGTCGCTAGCTTCTCTATATTACGTACTTGAATATGTCACGACATCATGACGATTGCAATATGTTTACCGCACGTAACCATAACAACTGCTCAGACTGGAAAAATTTCCGACTTCATGTGGAGTGCCCACATATGCGAGTGTAAACATGGGTAATTATGATTATCGAAAACGCCCAGTGCAGCTGTAAACTCCTTGCTCAAAAAATATCAGCCGATGATGAGAATGAAAAAGCATCCAACTAATGGACGTCCTTTTTAATGCTTATGTGTGAGTTTTTTATCTTTCCGGCCACAAGCAACTACGAGCCATTTGTGAAATAATTCGGAAACGTAAAGTGACAATTAAGGTAGGTGTCTAGTATCACCACTTTTCTTTACACCTTTCGTAAAGCGTATTTTCAGTTATTCTGACTTATCATATGACCATTATGTCACTCGCTGTTTAAGATTTCGGACCTCATTTATCTCTATCGATCTCACTAAATCTCTGAAAGATAAAGCGCGCGCAAATAACCGTTAACTATGACGCATCGTGATCGTCTAATTTAGATCAAAATTATTGGGAAAACTGAAACTATATCTCTTCTATTTTAGGTTGTATGGAAAAATGGGCTAGAAAGTTTTTTTTGGTAATTATTTTGGTAACGCCTGACTGATTGACTAGTGACTGACTGACTAATCGACTGACTGACTGGCTGATTGACTAAGTGACTGACTGACTAATCGACTGACTGACTGGCTGATTGAGTGTGTGAGTGACTAACTGACTCATAGAAAGGTGGAGGGAAGAATCGTGCAAACAAACTGGGTTGTGTGTGTGTCTGACTGCCCTTTGGTCATATACGCGCTGTGACATGAAATTTAGGACGTCGTTTTCTAATATCATGACTAATGGCTCCTAAAGGCTTTTAGAGCACCAATCTCTGAACATGTTGAGATTAACTAAAGGAATCAAAGAAACAACCAAAAAAAAGATCGATCTATTCACCCATCAAACACAGAAAATCAATTCCCTCTTATTTGTAAGCCCTTTTATTTTTACTGTTAAGGAACTCGTTTTAAAAAATGACGGTTTTGGCTGTAACAGAAGAAACATAAAAAGAAGAAATATTTCTTTAAAAATGCAGCTGCTAATTGACTCAAAATAACCTTATTCAGTTTATTTTGAAGATTAGTTGATGCTGTTTTGAAGCGCTGAGGTCTTGTGAAGGTAAGTCTCTTACACAGGGTAGAGTTATCTCAAATACATGTTATTACTACGATATAGTTACTTTTCCATCCTATTTCCTATTCTTTGTTTCTAAGTGCTCTATAGTCCTTGTCTTCTTCCGCTTCCCAGCCTATCTGATTGTTTCGACCGTTCCCGTATTTCAGGCATCCGATCTTAGATTTCAGGTGTCCCTAGACAACGTTACATTCCGAGTCTCTCCTTGTGATCGACCGGTTCATTACGACAAGGCTAACCTGCAGAACAGTCGTACTTTTGACGATACACAACTGAGATATCACATTGTCATCATTTTAGCCAGTGTGTTTACCTAATACTGTAAACATGTCTGATGAGGTGCAGAAGAAGCTTGATGTAGAGAATTCCAAAGTAAACCCGGAAGAAAGCCTGAAGGAACAAGCCGCTGGTGATGGCGAGTCTACGGAGCAGAAAAAAAAATTTTCCGTTCTGAAGGTGAAATTTGGACCAGATCCTTCTGGAGACACAAGTGGAGAACACTCGAATGAGTCTTCTTCACCATCCAGTCCGATTAGAAGCCCGCAAAGCCCTGAACATTTCACTCAGGGTTACGTCAGCAACGAAGCCATCCCCATGACTATCTTCTATCGCAGTCAGCACTCGCACGGACACGGTGGAAAACAACGGCCCACGCTGCAGCAACTACGAAAAGGCTTAGAAAATGACAAGGTATGGATGTATTTTAAGAGTGGTCAACCGTTTGAGCACGAACGCTTGAGTGCTTTTCATTTCACTTAAGTGAATTTTCGAATTTTCGTTCCCTTGTCACGTGTAATATAGTCTTGCGTGTACTAAGATAGGTGTGAAATCTTTTGACCGGTAAATGTTTTCCATTTGTTATAAAGTTATCTTGTTTAGGGGTTTAGGCGATGTTATTTTGATACGCTGCGGTAAATCTAATTTGAATGCTGAATAAATGAAATTAATGTAATGGTCGCTGGAGAAATAAAGCTCCCAGGATTGTGAAAACAATCGATAACCACAATATATATATCTTAGCCACACTGTTCTCTGGTCTTTTAGATGTTTATAAACAAAGCATTCCTGTGTCTCTAAGTCGTATCACTGCAGAAAACATCATAAAATTAAAAATATTGCTGCAAAGTCTAACGCTACACTCACACGGTACCGGAACAATTTTTGACCGGTGGAAATCGTGTGTTAAGGCGTTTTGTTCACATGGAACCACGCCAAACGTAATAATATTTTGGACACCCACGAGTTCAAAAATTTGATCACCAAAATCGAGGACCACACATCGAGATTTTTGCACGGTGAACGCGTGGTTGCATGGATGCCTGGTTGCATGGATGCCTCAGGTAACTAAACTACATAACATGTTTACAATTTTGTGCGAAAATGGAACGTACTAAGTTATCGATTGCGGTGCTCGGTAAAATTACAGCTCTATTACTTATTATATAGTAAGCTCAGTTATGCACGCATTCTGATTTGTTCTCACTTATGATCTATTGGAGGACAGACGTATAGACGGCGTCATCATTAAAACTTTTTTAAGTTCTTTATTACATAAAACAAATAGATTCGAAGTTGCCGTGCGTCTGTTCAGTAATAGATCACAGAGGACGTCAAAATGTGGTAAGAACATCAGTGACATTTATCGGACGAGGGGAGATACTACAAGGCATTCGGTATTGGAAAATCAGCAGTGTCTGAAATTGTTCAAAGAGTTCGCAGATGCATTTTACATGATTTTAATCGTCCTCGGGCTTGAGCGCGTCAAGTTACCAAAATCAGAACAAGAAGTGTGTGATGCAGTAAACAATTTTTATGATGTTCATAGGTTTCCACAATGCATAGGAGCTGTTGATGGGACACGTATATTTATTAAACAACCCTTAAAAATGCAACTGATTACATTAACCGGAAAAACAGGTGTTTCCCTATGTAACGAAAAGAGTTTCCAGGGGTAGGTTGTACATTACAAGAGCAATTCTTTGGATGGCGTCTTTGCTCTGCACACATGGTTATCAAATGTGCCTTAGGGAGACTTAAAGGAAGATTTGGAGTGCTGAAATGTGAGATGGACATAAATCTCAAAGAGTTACTGCACGTAATAAATCAATGCTTTATTCTACATAACTACTGTAAGGTGAATGGTGATCATATATCCAATGAGGCTATTGAGAAAGCAAGTCTGTTATTCAAAGATCACACTGAACTTGCCCCATTTGACTCGTACACTGTTTATTGTTTTAAAACATTAAAACTACTTCTACCTTTGCCTTTGATGTTTTCAGATGGTTTTCTGTTCATATCAGTTCTGTTTACCTTGAGCATGTTTTTATTCTGAGATACTTGTATTTGTTGATTTTATTGATAAAGTAAAAATGAAAAAGCATTCTCTTGGTTGAATGTTATTCAATAAGCATCAACCTTATGAAGTAAGTAAGGGAGTTCTTACAAATATGAATCTCAACAACTCTTTATGGCAACAAGTAATATACAAGAAATTTGACTACTTACATCAATGTAATATTAACATTGCTCTTGGTACATTGCAATTTGTACAAGAAAAATAAAAATCTACGAGTTAAATAGTGCAGTAACAAAATCTTTGGTGTGCTTACTATTGTCTCTCTTCCTAATAAGCAGGCACACTGGTAGTGCGTATAATAAATGCAACTTAACTTTGTTAACAGAATGCGAAAACAGTACACAGTACAACAGTTACATTAGACACAACATGACTGTTACTGTTCAACACTAATTAAAATGTGAAGCATCCTGCCAAAAACCTGGTGTGTCACTTTGCTTGTGCTGATATTTCAACCATTTGTCCAACATTGCAAGTAGATTATTATGAGGACAGAAAATGTGGCCATTATTTTTAAAAAGCAACCAGTTCAAGTTCACTGTCATTATGAATTATAACATTTTGATTAAAATCAGAACAATGTAATATTTCAGGTGTTGTATAATTCATTATCTGTAACATTATTAAGATAAGTTTTAAAAATTTGATACAAAATAAAGATATTTACAGTTGCATGACTATTTCTGGCATATATTCTTTTTATTTATGTTAACACTGCTTGCATATATGATCAACCCTTTTTTTATGGAACAGCATTGAATTAAATGATATTTACCATTATAACTTTATACTTTGAGTTATATATATTGGTACATTGATAAATTGGACTGGCCTGCAAGTGGGCAAGTTAATCTTTACTTGCCTGAGAAAATAGATGACTTTGTAAGAGTGACACAGTAGTTTTCATTGCAGCTTACTAATCAAAAACACTCAAACAACCTGAAATTACTGACCACAAATAAAATATACCATGAAAAAATATTTATTGTGTAGGTGGCAAATCAGTTGGCTACTTACAAGTGAAGCCTAAGGGGTTACACCAAGGACTAAGCTAAGTGATTTGTACTCATTCCAAATTTTCATTTATTTTTTAGGCTGAATTTACAGAAGAAACTGCCCCTCTGGATGATAGCAAATTAGAAGATGGCCAGGATTCTATAGAAACAAGAAATGTGAAGAGTGCACCAAAGTTTGGTTGGATCAAAGGTGTGCTTTTTCGCTGTCTGCTCAACATATGGGGTTTGATACTTTATTTACGGCTCTCCTGGGTGGTGGGACAAGCTGGAATAGCTTTGGCTTCTCTCATGATGATTTTGTCTGCTGTGGTAACTACTCTGACGACATTATCTTTATCTGCAGTTTGTACCAATGGTGAAGTCAAAGGAGGTGAGTGGCTATCATATTGTGGCATGATGCATCGCATTATTATAGGCACTGACTTGTCATAGCACAGCACTGTCCAGTATTCTGCTCCATATTATTTACCTATTTATGCAATCATCATTGACCAATCAGAATGGAATGTTTTTTTGAATGTGTGATAAGTCCCCGAAATATTTTAAGCACATAGGGTGATACAAGTTACCACGACAGAATTTTTCCTCACAATATCGATACAATATCAAGCAGAAAAGTGATTAAAATACAACACATACAATACAATAGAATAATATATGTTACAATGGGGTGAAAAATATTTACATATGTTGTGAAAAAATATCTAGATATACTAGAGAAAAATATTTATAAGGGGATTATGAGATAATCCATCACCAGTTTTTTTCCAAAGTAACACAATAAGAGTTGTATAATAGACAGTATAGAGAATTACTAATTAGATCTTGGAATCAAAATGGTTCAGCATCCTGGGTGATGCATGTTATTATCAGGAACCTAATTTCTCTAAACAATTCAGTGATAAAAATTAAATATTCAGGAAACATGCTTTTCTTATAGGTGGCACCTATTATCTCATTTCCCGCAGTCTAGGGCCTGAGTTTGGAGGCTCCATTGGCATAATCTTCTCAGTAGCCAGTGCTGTGGCAACAGCAATGTACGTGGTTGGTTTTTCAGAAACAGTGCGGGATATTCTGCAGGACAACAGCTCCCTTATGGTAGATGAGTCCAATGACATACGCATTGTAGGCCTCATAACTGTTGTCATTCTCCTCTGCATCACCATGATTGGGTTAAAGTGGGTTGTACGTGCACAACTGTTACTTCTTATAGTACTAGTTATTTCCATTCTTAATGTGCTGTTTGGCACTTTCATTGGGCCACAATCTGACGAAAGCAGAAGCAGAGGTTTTGTGGGGTACCAAAAGGAAGTGTTTAAGACCAATTTGAGTCCTGACTACAAAGGCGAGAGTTTCTTCTCTGTCTTTGCAGTCTTCTTTCCTGCCGCAACAGGGATTTTAGCTGGGGTGAATATATCTGGTGATCTCAAAGATGTGCACAAGGCTGTTCCAAAGGGGACCTTGCTGGCCATTCTAATCAGCACCATTGTGTATGTCATGCTTGCTTGGTTTGTGGGTGGATGCGTTGAAAGAGAAGCTCTGGGGTTTATGCAGGAGGTGTTGCAAAATACAGCCAATAAGACTTTGGCTTCTTGTGTAGAACAGAAGTGTAGATATGGGCTTCTAAACGATTTTCAGGTAAGGTTTCCTTAAGATAAATAGCATTTTATTGTAAATTTATTCAAAATGCTTGCACATATTGCACTGGTATTCCATCCATCTTATTCACTTCAACCCTATAATTCCCAAGATCTGATCGTTAATTCTCTGGCCTCTACCTTCTACACATCTCCTTGTAAATGAGTCGCAAGAATTTGGTGTTATTTCAAGATAACATTCTCATTACCAGTTTGCTTGATATAAAAATTATGTGTATTGTGGAGAGAAGTTACATGCGAGTCACTTATGACAGTTAGAGGGTTTTTAAGAATAGCTTGGCTTGGAAATTGTTTAGCACAGGCTCCTCTGTAGCCACCCTGTCACAAAAGATCTTTCCACTGATATGAGGGTTGCTCCGCTGATTGACCTCAATAATGTCATGGATAAAGTGTACTGACTTCTAGTGAGAATTGTGAGTGAAAATGGCTGGCTAAGAGGTCATTCGGCCTCTTTGTGTTGCATGTGCTCCCACATGTAGTTTTAAAACCGTATACAGTGTATACAACTTCCCCCAAAGACTAAGGCCAGTTACTTCGAAATTTGAGTCATCGATCAATTGATTGATTTATAACATATTTACGTCGTTATCTTTTGATTAATTTATCTTTAAGGTTATGGAGGAAGTGTCCGGATGGGGTCCAATTGTAACAGCAGGCATCTTTGCATCCACTTTGTCCTCTGCACTTACGAATCTTGTCGGGGCACCCAAAGCATTCCAAGCAGTTTGCAAAGACAAGCTTTTTCCTTACATAGATTTCTTTGGTGTAGGTTATGGATCTGGCAATGAACCTCGCAGAGGTTACATCTTGGCTTTCTTCGTGGCGGCAGCGTTCATTGCCATTGGAGATCTAAACGTGATTGCCCCAATCATCTCCGGCTTTAACCTCATTATTTACGCTCTCATCAACTACGCCGTGTTTGCTGCCTCGTTGTCGCGTTCTCCGGGATGGCGGCCCTCGTTTAAGTACTACAACATGTGGGTGTCGCTGTTAGGGGCCTTGCTGTGTATCGTTATGATGTTCCTTATCAACTGGTGGGCCGCATTGTTGACAATATTCATTGTGCTGATATTGTACAAGTATGTCGACTTCACCAAACCTAAGGTTAGACTTGAAATGCGAAGGAAAGTGTCTGGTTGTATATTTTAGTCGGTCCTGTGTAAAAAGGTTGGGGTACCATCTAAATCATTAACCTTCAGGAGTGACTAGCATCTGATTTCTTCCTATGGTATCACCCCTGAATCAATAAAGGAAATGATCACCAACTAAAGTAGTGTTCTCCTTTTGAGGCAGTAACCGGTAACATTTATCACCTGTAGTACCTCTTATTACCGTTTAAAATTGCTTGGAATTCTTGAAAATTCATCAGGCAAAAGGATTGCTTTACCGGTTTGAAAATTTATTTTACCTGTCATGCTTAAAATAAGGGAGAACACTGCTAAAGGAGCACTAGATTTCTAACAAATTCTCAATGTCAGCACCTGAGGAAATGGATAGAGAACAGTAAGGAGAATATGCATACTGATGTTGGGGTGTGAGGGGTTAATAGACTAGTTTTCATATCACGAGAAGATTTGCCATCTCTCGCTCTCCGAATAGAAAGTTACTGGACAATAGCAATCTGCGGCGTAACCATTTTAGCGTGGAAAGTAGAGGGATTTTGTCACAGAATGAAGGTGGAAGTAAATGATACGCGAGCTCTGAGCAGTTATCTCGTCAAACGACAAATTTAAATTGTTTTTCTAAAGTAATCCCACTGTCTTTTAGTCAGCGGTGACATAGTTAGTAGAGGAGGTCTCCTCTACTAACTATGGTGGTGACGAGCGAAAAAGCAAGCATTTTACTTCGAGCGCTCACCGTTTCGCTCGTCTCAGTGACTGAGAGACCGAAACCGCCCAAACTAATGCGGGATTACATCCGTTTCGCTTCACCTCGCTATGTTATTGTATGGGTACAGAAAATAGCCTCGACCTCTTAGCTAATTAGAAGCAAAGTTGAGACTAATCTTTGGTTGAGCTCGTTGGTTCATACCGCGCTCGAGAATGTCAATACATGTACGTACTTGCTTTGAGTTCTCATCGACTCCTGGATATATTTATCTTTTCCCTGATAGGAAAATCAAATAGTGCGAAACTCAGGCATACAAGCATCAAATCTACCACGGGGTTTTCGACAGTTTACTCAGCATCCTTTTCGCTTTTTCTCTTCACACAGGTGAATTGGGGATCATCTGCGCAAGCGTACGCTTTCGTGCAGGCCTTGCACTACACTCACCGGTTGGATGGAATTGGTCATCACGTGAAAAACTTCCGTCCACATTGTTAAGTGCTAACCGGACATCCACACGACCGACCCAACCTTATATACCTAGTGTCTCAGATCACTAAAAACGTCAGCCTTATGGTGTACGCTAATGTGATAAAGGAACCTTTTGGAATGCTCCCTGAAGACGAATCAGATGTCGAGTGGATGAGAAAACACAAGATCAGAGCTTTCCGCGCTGTGACCGCAGGTAAACAATGTACTGCCGAATTACTAAAGAGTTGCCTTCTTTTTCAATTTTTTTTTTTTTAATTTCCGCCGGTGCATATCAGTTTTCGCTCTGACTAACGCTCGAAAAGTCAGCTTCAGAAACTCTCTATGGTGGCCAACTTACCGCATTTTCAACTCAGTTGGTAAAACCAATTTATTTTATATCAGTTTTAGTTTGCATATGTTTTGTTGTTGTTTTCCTTTTTCCTGTGATTCGTTATACATCCCCAAATTATATAAGTTTTGTTTGTTTGAAGATATGTTTAATGAGTGGCAAATGGTTACATTTGTGTGCAGGGGGTTGCATTTCCGCGCTTTGTTCACGAAACACAAGAGGCAAATAAATGACTGAGAGACTATTGGTTATCAAGAGGGCGTGATTACTTGATACTGATTTTCGAGCACAAGTCATATGCAGTGACCTGGGGCTCTTACACGAAATGGGTTATAAAAAAAAATCCCAGGAAAGCAGCACTTCTCTAAATCAATACTAACATCACTACCCTACTCTTACCAAAAAGAGAGAATCTTGAGAATACGCTCCAAATTAATCCGTAATTGCCTTCGGGTGCATGGAATCACAGAGAAAAACTTGCATGTGTATTTGGTAAGAAAAGTTCACTTTCCTTTACCAATGTCATCTCTCTGTTCCCATTTTTCCCCTCTACAGCGCCCAGTCTCCGCACGGGGGTGCAGTCCATGTTTCACCTCACCGGACTGGGAAAGATGCGGCCAAACACGGTTGTTATGGGCTATAAAAATAACTGGACAGATAAGAGGTACTTAAGTGAGGTAGTAGACTATCTTGGCGTAATTAACGACGTCTTCGAGCTCAGTTATGGTCTGGTCATTTTTCGAATGAACGAAGAACAGAATAAAAATTTTATCGTAGAGAAGGTGGATGAAAGCTCTTCGTCGAATTTGGACTCGATTATGGAAGGAGACGAATATCCTAAGCCCAAACGTTCCTCTACGGGGAAAAAGTCAGCAAACGAAGAGAGAGAAAGTCTTACTAGCCCTGAGAAGGCGTCCGAACCAACGTCCGAATCTTCGCCGACACCGGAGGTCAAGATTGCATTGAAAGAGAAACAAACGGGCACCATCGATGTCTGGTGGCTGTACGATGACGGTGGTCTGACAGTATTGCTGCCGTACCTGCTGACACTTCATGGTGCCTGGAAGAAGTGCAAATTGAGGTTTTTCTCGGCTAACTTTCGCTCCAAACACGAGGTGAATCCGCAAGGTTTGCGAATGGCAAACTTGTTAAAGAAGTTCCGCTTTGACGCTAGCTGCGTGGAGCAAGTTGAAGTCAATGAACCGCCGTCGAAGGAGAGCATCGATGCTTTCAGACGTCTGCCAGTCAAAGATGAGCTTGGAGAAGAGCCTATCAAAGACCAGAAAGTTCTTAGAACGATTCGCATCGGAGAACTTGTGCGACAGCACTGCTCAGAAGAGACAAGGTTGGTCGTAATCTCCATTCCAGTCCCCGTCACTGACGTCACAACCCCTTTGATGTACATGAGTTGGCTTGAGGTGATGTCCGCTGACTTACCGCCGGTGCTGCTCGTACGTGGCAATCAAACCAATGTGTTGACATTTTACTCTTAGTTAAGACATTTATTTTTTGGTCATAAACCTTTTCCTTCCCTACATAAGCGTCCTATGAAAGTAGTTTTTTTTCTAGTTTGATAGCTTAGCGAACTCAACTCATTCTAATAAATATTACTGACGAAACAGAGAAAGCGAAGCTAAGAAACTTGTTCTTTTTGAAAAATCTAAACAGTTGACGTCTTTTAAGCTAATTCGTGCAACCGACTAACCAGCGTTCCTTATGTACGATATTATGGAAATGTTCGATAAGAACCAATATTTTAGGGGAACCCCTTAAAATTACATTTTATGGGACCCCTCTAATATTACACTTTGGGAACGTCATATCGAGGTATCGAGTTGTTTAAGGGCACGGAAAAGTAGTCGCATTAGTGAAGTGTTGTTGAGGAAGCTTTTGCCAAAAGTTCCAATAACGACGCCTCTCTAATGCAAAACTAAAATGTGTAGGTTTTTTTAAAATATTGCAAAGATCAGCGAGATAGGAATGTCTGTCACAATTGTTTGATGAAATGATCATTTCATGGTTTCACGTAAATAGCAAAATGCAATCGCGTCCATATGTGATTTATCTTACGTATCGGAAGACAATGCTTGAGATTGAAAGAGTTTTTGAAATAGGACCAGTCAAGGAGTAAACTTTAAGCTGAATCGCCATCAATTTCCAGCATCGCGATATCACTTCGATCACGTGCTCCAGAAGCTGACAGGGTAACTCGGTGATAGTTAATCAGAAATCTTTAAATCACGATCATGTACTTATAATCGGTAACATTGTAAGCTGTCCCACTTAAAATCACATGGTGTTAATGAAGAGATTTTCACGTGGTTTTCAAGAGGACAGCGATAAATCCCAGTGTAAAAGCTATTTTACGATAGGGTAAAATGACATAGAATTATATTAAGCCTGTGTCGAGGTTTTGTAATGACAAGGCGACAGCTTATGCCATAATCATTGGCACCAGGTATTATATTTTAGCAATAAAAATCAACAAGAAAATAAACTTGGTTTAACAAATGGCCTTTAAGGGTTGAGGTAAAGAGTAGATAATATTATTAATGATTTGCAGTCTCTTCGGACCAAAATACTCAGCATTGTCTGAAGGAAAACCTAAACCTTAGTGCTCATATCTGCTCTCTGCAACTCTACGCTTATGAAACTGCCACCTTTCAGATAGCAACACTTCAGCTTTGGTACTAACTCTTGCCTAAGATCTGCACTAACTGTCTTCTTGGTTCGTTTCCAACCATTTGACAGTTAACTGCACGAAAACTTAAGCAATGATTTCGAATAATTCCTCGATTCACCTATGCTAAGATACTTCCATCTTTTTCCTTACCTGTTCTTGTTGATCTTTTTTAGCATTTCAAAGGAAAAAATCAACAAAATCATGTGCGGTTTTTAAGTTTCGGGTCCAGAATATTTGGCCCTAGTTACATGAGGGTAAATGAGAACAAGTACATGAGAACAGTAGTGTTGTTGCGGGAGTCATCTCGGTCATCAAACTCACGAACAGGGACTGGTTATTACCTTCCATAGAGAGAGTAAAATGCGATGAAAATTTCTTCGATACTCTGAGTTCCAGCCGGCGTAAATGAAAACATTCACTCCAGAATTAGCGTAAATCAAGCATATTGCAATGTTAACCACTATTGGTGGAGCGGAGTGCTGCTCCCACATCTCCACCACATCAATCACGACGATTGGCAGCACAAGAAGAATGAACACGCCTATCAAGATCGCGATCATACGGGCACCTTTACCAGTTTTGCTGGTGTTACGAACGTGATTGCGCATGCGTGCATGGGGCTGTTCAGTATGACTGTTGCTGAAGTTTTCTGTGTGACCCTGATAGCCAGTTGTGCGGAGTTCTTCACGAGTAAAAGAATCTTCTTTCAGTTGGGAATTATTCGACTGCAAGCTGAATTCTTGCGCCGCTATAGCGCGTGAATGTCTGAAAGATGCCTTTAGGATAAAGAAATAGACTATTACGATTGTTATTAATGGCAATCCGTGGATAAAAATGTATCCAATCGCGACATATGTTCTGTCCAATGTCATGGTAAAACGGCACGTGCGGGATAGTGTAGGGTTATCTGATCGTCCCCACCCAACTAAGGGTGATGCTGCGAACAAAAACATGGACGACCACGTTAGAATCACAGAGCTGACAAAAACCTTCGTTGTAAGCCAAGTGTGGTATGTAAAAGGCCATTTGATGGATATAAACCTGTCCACGCCGACAAGAAGAATGCTCATGTTTGAAACACCTCCAAAAAGTATGGTGAAAAAGATAACCACTGAACAAGGAACTGGAGCTTGCTGTTTCCGTATTCCGAGGAGAACTGTGGCGCGAAGTGGAATGGCTAAAGCTGCCTGCATTAAGTCTGCGACGGCTAAATTTGCCAAGTAGAGGTCTGATATAGTGCGAAGATTCCGTTTGATAACGATGGCCGCCAAGACAAGTAAATTCCCAGCAACAGCGGAGATGGATATCAGAATTAAGCAAACAGCTGTTATGACAAAGCTGTTGTCAAATTTACCTTGTGGCGTATCTTCTGTGATATTAAATGTCAAGTCCATATTAAATGAATTTAAAAACAATTTTCAGTATTTGCAGTTTTCTTGACGATCCATAGTCTTTCTCAACCAAGAAGGATTTTAGTTTGCCGACGGCGTGCGTTGTCAGAGCTGACAAAACGAAAGAATAGACAATGATGAAAAGGTTGAAGTTAAATTTCGTAGCTTCACTGACTTCTTCAGGCCCAAAGATTGGCCAACATACGTGTGCCCGTCTAACATTATCAACATAACATGATCGTTGAAAATGAAAACTTAGATAATGACGTTTCCAACAATTTTCGCCAAATAAGTATATTTTCATTTTCAAAAGATAGCTACTGGAGGATTTCCGACGGTTTCTAATGATCACAACAATATTACCCTGCAGATTCGAAATCTTTTTGGAATGATCACCCTACATTCTCCTCTTTCAGTTTCACAGAAATGTTTTTACTTTTTACAGTTGGTGATGGAATAAATGGAAATACAAACATTTCGCCGCAACGTATAACAAAATTATATTTACCTGGTTTTCCGAAGTCAGGCCTTTCGTCTTTTATTTGATGCATAAGGTCGTATTAGATATCTCTAACAACAACCATTTTTGTTTCAGATTGCAAGGAAAAGTGGTTATGAATACTTACTATTAATTCAAGTCCCTTCGTAAATTAGAACCTCAGAATGTTGTTCTCGTCACCAGCAGTTAGTTTTGACAGATACTTTTAAGTCTTTTATTGCGATATTGACATTTTATTGTTTGTTTTTTAGCGCACATTTGAATAAAATATACCACTTGTCAATTACATCGATATGGAAATTTCTTTATTTACTATTGTTAAAAGTGAACTGTCCACAAGAAGATTCAAACCTTCATCCGTTATAATACCATGTCAATTTTTTGAGTTATAGACAGTTCAAATGATATCCAATAGTCCTCTTTATATTATCAATTTGAGTTAAGTCCTATTGGTGGTTAGTAGGAGGGAAGAACTTTGAATTGCATAATCATAGGCCACTGGCATGTATCTAACACACACGTACTGCTGGCAGCGGCAACATCATGCATGTTAAAAAAAAAAAAACATGATACACCGTAACATGAAACATAACTATTCTTCGCGTGAGAGCTTTTACACTGTTCTGTTTCTTTTTTATGATTATCTTTTTAATACGAGTATGGTAACTTATAAATTGCCGCTACATTGACATGTAAGGCGCTGTCAAGTCAACAAAAGCTGAGCTGTCTTCTAACTGAGCGTTTGAAAATTGTTATATAGTAACGGAAGGCATTCTCATGATAATTTCCACAAGTAAACAGCCTTCAAATTCGCAAACATAAACCAGAATGGCTTGGGGATGGAAAAGATTGTCACAGATTACGAATGTCAAGCTTGAAAAAAAAAGTCAAGCTTAGTTCTTGATGTCGACTCACGTTGCATTACGTTTTTCCATGTCTTCCGTCCGTAATCATGCCAAAATTACAAACTCGCACCATAGCATGCTTCATTATGTACAAGAGAATGCTCGCTTGCACCGTACCTAATTGAATCAAGAGAGTGATGTTCTCTAAGTACGATTAATAATAAATGAAGGGTTTATTAAAAGTATTCAAAAAAAAAAAAAAATCAGGCGGTACATCGTCCCTTCAGAAAGATCTTGACGCCATTGCACAGTGGTCGTCGCACAATAATATGAACCTCAACCCAAAGAAGTGCAAGGAACTTGTGATTTGTTCGCTTAGAACACGGCCAGATCTTGGCCCTTTGTGCGTCAATGGACGTCCCTTAGAACGGGTCTCCTCACACAAGGTCCTTGGAGTCACTATCAGCGACACTCTTGGGTGGAATGAGCACGTGCGTGAGATTGTCTCCAAAGCCTCAAAACGTCTTTACATCTTAAGAGTGCTCAAGCGGTCCGGAATTCCACCCGAAGACCTTATTAACATATTTTATGCCTTGGTACGATCGGTCCTCGAATACGCCTGCGTCACTTGGTCTACTAGCCTACCAATTTACCTCAAGGACATGATCGAAAGAGTTCAGAAAAGAGCTCTGCGTATATTATTTCCGGCGCTGAGCTACAAAGACGCCATTGTGGCTGCAAACTCCACTCGCTTAAATGTGAGAAGAGACGAACTCTGCAAGAAAGTTTGGGACGGTATCTGTGTGCCTGGGTCACGGCTGTACCACCTTATTCCACCAAAGCGCGCCGATTGCCACGTTTATGAGTTGCGCAACAAAAACCATGTATCACTCTTTAAATGCCGGACCGAAAGATTTAAAAAATCTTTCTTTCCAACAATGGCGTCTAACGCCCAGTTCTTGTAGTAAAGCAAACCGAAGCGTTTTTCATTGGTATATAACTACTGACTCTTGTAATTCCCAGTCCCCTTAGACTTTTAATTTTAAAGTCAAATGTAAGATTGTCGTATTTTTTAAATATTTAAAGTATACTTGTAAATTCACATGTATTTCATCACTGGGGTGCTATTTTTGAATACTTTTAATAAGCCCCTTCATTTATTTATCTCACAGCTAGAGCTTGGGCCGCCTGTGATTTAATGTAACGAACATTTTGCCAAATGGTCGCATTTTTCTGCGTTCTTACTGGGCTCGCGAAAATACTACCGAACTTAAAAACTATCCGCTTGAACTTTATGTGAAACCATCAAATATGGAATATACCATACTATGGTGCTGTTGCTACGTCATAAGATAGCGATGCGTAAAATTCATCAAGCATTAATTGATTATCTGGCCAGTGTTGCAGTTTAAATTCCATGTGACGGCACTACCGAGATCTACTCACACTCTTGAAAGAAAAATCGTATCGATCAAAACTCTGAGAGCTTATTTTCAGTCACATTACTGCTCGCACTCTTCATCTCGATGGAGTTCCTTGTAAAGGCAAATTAGTTTATCGGCCTCTTCTCTCAAACATTCCGAAGAGGTGCGAAATTCCTCCGCTAATTCACCGCAACTTCGGATTTTCTTTGCACCTGAATATATATCAAAGATGCCAGTCAGCACTCCAAGACCAGCCAATGATCCGGAAAAAGCCTTCGCACCAGTTGATCCAGCGATCAGAAGGGTTTTGCCCACGACTGGTATGGTAAACCCTGGTGCTGCAGCACTTGTGGAAATTCCGATATCCGCTCCTCTGTACACAAGAGCATTGACCCTATTTAAGGATACCAGCTTTTTTACTACCTCGACATGGTCGTAAATTTTCTTAGCAACTTGGCCAGTCGCGCTGGCCACCTCGAAAAATGTGTCCTCTTTTCCGTCAACCGAATGTATGCTCGTTTCATGTTTCTGTTCTGTTAAAAATTTATCTGCGTCTTGCAGATATTTACCATACTCTCCCAGCAGCGAGTAGAACCTACAGGTGGCGCAGAAGAGAGATGCTATGGCCTCGTTCACTTTTCCTCTCTTGTGATTATCCAGTTTGCCGTGGACCAGGTTTGCTGTGAATGCTGTAGTTGATCCTGTTAGCGCAGTTATAGTTCCTCCTACAGTGAGAATCAAACTACCGCCCGCTGTAACCGGAGCTAACAAAATACCAGCTATCGCAGCCCCGCCTCCAGCGATAGTCACACTTCCACCGACCAGTTGTGCGATACCAGTACCCTTCACTACCTCCTCGAGGCTGCTGATACATTCATCTATAATTTCAAATACTTTATGGACTTTGGTCTGGTACTCGTCAAAACTGTATCCTATGATGACGTCAAGATAATTGTCAGCCACATTTTTCCAGAACAGCGCCTTTTCAAGGGGGTTTGGCTCTCTTAGTGAAAGTTGGAAATCGTCCCATACTACTTCTGGAACAAAATGCCATTTTTGGTGTTCACTGTCTTCCTTGAATTTTCTCATGAAAACCTGAGCAGTGGGAGGCGAACCATCCATAACGAGATGACTCAAATTGCTCACAATGGATGCTTTTTCAACTCGCCAATTTTGGCTGAGGCTGTCGTCAGCTTTCCTGGCATGACAGACGGCTTTTTCCTTCTTACTTTCACCTTTGATCTCTGCCACAAGGCCCAGTTTGCTGACCAGCCGACAACTCTCATCCCATCTCCACAACTGACTTGATCGTCCACGTTCTTGTGTCACGATCTCAAGAATACCACTTTTCTTGCCATTTTGAATATCAAGAACTAGTCTACCGCGGCTGTATTGGCTCACTATGAAGAAATATTTAGTTTCTTCTCCGTTACGTGACTGCATCTCGGTAAGTCAGTAGCTTTTCTGCTATTTTCAATGTATGAGTTGGAAGGAAGGATTGATCTCTCAGTTTCGGATCACTACCTAGGTAATAAAAAGACACATCTCTGCTTGACCGTTTCACAGCTCAAACTGGCCAAATTGGATACTCAATCTGACCAGTGTAACAAATAAATGCGTGAGGTCAAGATGTCTGGACTTATGGCCGAGTTCTTTTGTTGTTTTTTTTAATAAAACGCAAAAAAAAAAAAAAAAAAAGAATGAGGCTAATATCCAGCCACCTTGACCGAGCAAGCCTGATCAATAAAATATTTGTTATATAGCAAAAGGATTTCGATATGATATGAATGAATAGAGCCGGGAAAGAAATCGAACAGTATATTTAGGAAAATAAATTCACGAGAGGTGTTTAATGTTCTATTTGTTTTGGCTGTCTTCGGCTTCTTTATGCGACTCCATCACCGCTCCATCCACTCCACGCAATTTATTACTTGCGCAGGATCAAAGTGGGCAATCCCGAGCGGGCAAGATGGGCCCATCTTGCCCGCTTCGGTGGCCAATAAGAACACAGGATTCGCTTTATATTGCCCACAGGCACTGCTAACTGGATAATAATCGAGAATATCACATGGCCGTGCGTGGATACGAATTTATTTACGAGTGTTGGTAATTTCTCTCACAAGTCAGCGAAGCGAAGGAGTGAAAGATATTATCTCCATGAAAATACAAATTTGTATCCGACATACGGACATGTAATGTGTTGTTTGTCAAAATAAACGAAACTGATTTCAAAATGCATTTTAAGAGCACCGCCCGATGATGGAGAGATCACCCACTTACAAAAAACTCTGCTTGTAGAAAAGCCACCGTAGCTTCCGGATACAAATGAAACAAGTTCTCTTAAAAAAAAGGCCTGTCATCATGGTTAAAATTAAAAAGTTCGAAGAAGTATTGATTGCATTTTTCCACTCCCCTTTAAGTAGGTAGTGGCGAACCCTAAAAGTCTTCCAGATTCTCAGAAAACAGGAAATCCGGAGAGGCCGAAACCCGAAACCAAAATGAATCGAAATTTGGTTGACCTCGAAAGTTTCTCTTTCATGTAATTTAAAATTCAACCCAAATAACATTGGTATTGGAAGAGAACGAGTTTTTTCCCTATTTTAATTATCATCCAAGATCATATTCTGTGCACGATATAAGAATTATCATTCCCTGTCCGTCAAAAGTGTCGAATTACTTTTGCGGTTGCGGTCTGTTTGTCCGAGGAGTTACATGCCCGAGCAGAACGAGAGTGAGCTGAAAGAGAAGAGCGAGAACGTCAGACTAATAAGGGAAAATTATCCGGTCCTATTCACCAATTTTACAAGGATATATAACAAGCCCATTTTCTGAGAATTTATCAAACTTGTTGGAGAAAGCACCGTTGACAATCAAGTAGCTTTATTATAAGCGTTTCAACCCCTGAAGCAATATGTCGACGTAAATGTTGTTAACCTTGCTGACACGAAGTTTTACGGTGGCCCACAACTGTCACGGCAAAAGAAATAACCTCGCGACAAAAAAATCACCTCGCGGCAAAAAGAAAAAACCTCACGGCAAAAAGATAAAACTCACGGAAAAAGATAAAACCTCACGGCACAAGATAAAACCTCACGGCAAAAGAAAACCTCACGGCAAAAGAAAACCTCACGGCAAAAGAAAACCTCACGGCAAAAGTAAAAGACTCATACAAGAGTGTGTACCATTTTTTTGTGCAATTGAAATGATGAACGAATATGATTTTTACTGGGAAATAATTGATTAATTTAACTATTTATATTACAACTGGAAGCCCAAATTAGTACTTGTTTTAATTCACAATTTCCCCACATCATTGATCATATCTGATGACATTTTCGAGACTAATGATTGAAAAAAACGTTTCCTTACTCCGATAAAATCCATGATTATTCCTCAATTTCTAACAAGCTTTTTGATGTAACGACCGTATCTCTAGTACCAATGTTGTCCTTCTTTTCTTTACTCGACATTGACCGTTTTTGTTTTGGTAATCGACCCTGCCGGTTGTGATTCATGTCAAAAAAAGCTTTTGAAACAAAACAGAAACTTCCGTAAACGTAAATAATTCGCTGAAAGTGGAAGTACATTGCACTAGCGGTACAGTTGAAGCTCTAAAACAACACTCACAGGAAAGTGAGTACTTCAATTGATCAACGATAACTTGAGATAGCAATGACACGATAAAAGCATACTATCCAATTCGTTTGTGTTCCTCTTGCATCCTTCACAAATAACATCATCTACATCGATCGCCCAAACAATCACAAGACGAGACTCGAAGTCGTTTGTACAATTTTTTGCTTTTTGAAAATAACTTCCTTCCACACACACACAACAATTTTAAGACTTTGCCGCTTCCATCTATGCTACAGAGGGAAAAATGACAAGGAAGGTTGTCTCAAATACTCGATCCATTGTTTTTTTCCGACGTACTTTCTTACTTCTTTTCTTTCGCGATTCTTTCGCGGGAAACTGACGTAGGCGCATACCAGCGGTTTCTCGCTTCAAACTTAAGTTTACAGAACATGCGCAACAAAACGCCCCTCTGCTCCGTGAGGTTATTTCTTTTGCCGAGAGTCTTTTAGTGTGTCGATCTCTGATCTCTGTTTAGTACAAATCACAAAAACATGCAGAAAAAATTCCAACTGACAAAGGTAATTTAACATGTTTTCTCGCATATGTGAGTTCATAGCAATAAACGTGAGAAAACGTAATGGAGAGCATTGGAGTTATTTTAAAATATTTGCTTTGAATATCGTTTGAATCAATGATTCCTCTTTCAATTAGCAGCGGAAGGTTTTGGCCTCTTCTTGGAAATCGGCTGAAATTGTGCTTCATTCACAGTAATCATTGATTATTTATCAATATTTAGACCGTTAGGCCTATAGAGACAGTTGTCAAGCCATGAATATTTGAACACCTGATGTTTTGGGGCGACAAGCTAATTGTGTTGCACGCAACGTGGGGTGGCTAAAAAGGAATCAAACAATTGCTCGTGACGCATATGCAAAATGTTTCAAATGAAAATGTTTAATCAAGTTCAAACATGGCCCCCAATTAAATGCAAGGTTCAGACGGGCAACCGAGCAAACAATAATGTTTTCTAAAAATGATGGTTCCCGATGAATTGATATTTAGCTATGATTTCACTTTCGCCCAACCTTGGCTTCCAAGAACTCCCATTGAAATGTTTCTCCTCTTTGCCGGCACAATGAGTGCACGATTGATACTAGAGTGAAGGGCATTCACAACCAAGTCACGAAGAAATGCACTTAACCATGACCTAGCTGATAAATATGTTTCTGTTTTGCCCCAGAACGTCGAAGTGGAGCCAATTTTCTCGCTCCTCAAAGCAGTACTTGCATTCAGCATGAATTCAGTGCTTAATGCATTCAATGCAATAATGAATGGATTAACATATCAGACGATCCAAACTATGCTTACCTTACTTACGCAATTCTACACTGCACAAACTTTGATGAAAAAACTGTGAGATGACAAACAATTGTGGTGACATAATCAAGGAATCGGTATCTTTGAGTTCAACCAAAAGTCTAAAGGAGCTTAAAGGTAACTGTACCTCCTCATCCAACGGCTGGTTATTTAGCTCTTACTTGGTGTAGAAAACAAGACTAGACACAGTATACGTCACACTATTATTTTCATTGTTTTCTTATTTCTGATTGCCATGAAATTCTATTGTGACGTATAGTGTCTTCTAAACCAAGTAAGAGCTTGTTATGTTTACTCAAACATTTCTTAGAAAACGACTTATTGCCAGGCCCTCACAGCTTCCGAGCAGGACTGGGAATGTAAAAATAATTCCATTAAGGGGGAAGTTTATTACTGATCAAGTGAAATGTAGGAAGTGAAACTCACATGCACGGCTGTACACCTTTGAAAGATCTTTCCTGAAAACCTCTCAGCCTCTAATGTGTTTAAAATTTTGTTTCATCAAAATTTGTTCTTTGGCCTTGAGTCAAATTGCATAATCGACATGAGCAGCAAAGGACATAAATTGAATTTCTGCGTTGTTTGTTGGACGAAGCACGCTCCTTTTGGAAGGCAGGCGCAAGGGGGGAGGGGGAGAGTAGTTTGAATATCTTGTATCCCAGTAATGTATTCTTTGAAGATGTTATGTCCTCTTGAAAAAAATGTCTAATCTAACTATAGTTGTAGGATTGTGTATGAGGTGGTTAGTAGTATGAACTCGACATGCTGAGTGCTTCGTCAACTGTATTTTATTTATATTTTGCGGTGAATTTTACAGTAATACAAATACTATATACAATTCAGTGAGTTTCTATTAAAGCCAAAAATAACAAATGGTCGCCTAGATAAATTATAATTTCAGGCATAAAGATATTCTCTGGGAAACAGTGCTAAGCTATATACACCTTAAACCACACAAAACCACATCAGTCCTGGAACAAAAATAAACATCTGGACGAGTCAAAAAATGTGACTTGTGCTAGGAACTTATACGTCCCGAGTTCGATACATCTCGTACACATCACAGTCACGTATCTGTGGTAACATTCACCAGCCGCTCGTGTCTTTGGTCATACGATCCACGTCCTCTAAGCACCAGTCTCTGCTCTTCTTCCTTCAGTTGACCACTGACAATCACGACACATTCGTACTCAACACTGTGCCTGCAACGATGGAGGTATCGAAGTCAGTACAACGTAATAACTTCAGTTATGAAAAATCTTAGTTATGAATCAAACCACGAAATAACTTTAAGGGATACAAATATGAAGATCACTTAAGACACTCCGAGTAAGATTTCGATTAAGACTCAGATGCAAGTTGTTGTACTTTCTTTTAAACATTCAGAAAACGTTTTCTTTTTGGAGCATGTATTTCCTATAAGCTGTTTTCGCGCGAACAATTGTATTACTAAGTAGAATTAAGACTTGTATTTAGCAAGCTTCTTTAAAACTGCCCGTTTTGATAGATTTGAATGGGCAAATTTGAAACAATCCCTTAGAGTAGGTGGCATGAAAAAAAATGATAAACTGGGAATATGATATGGATTATTGAGGATCATTTGCAGTTGAACGTAAAAGCGAAACATCAAACCACAATAACGAGTACAAGAGATCAACTTACTTAGCTGTGAAGGTCACTTTAAGTGTAGTTTTGGTCTGGCTTGTAAAGCTAGAGTTTGCCTCCAGAAATCCTTCGGTCGGATTGACAACAAAAACATCTTGGCTGATAGAGGGATAACGTGGATCTATTAAGGAGAAAAAAAGAATCCCTGAGAGTGAGAAGGAGATCAATCGTAACGTCTGAAATGATTCCAGCGTGTTTCATCGGAATTTTCAAACTTAACCTTTCTTCGCGACCCAAGCAGAAGCAGAGCGAGAGGGATTGCGCAGGGTCACGTGCATTTCAACTGATTGGCCCACCAGGCACGTGCCAAAGTCCAAGACATCCTGAGACAGACGGAGAGTGGGAACAGCTATCGAGGCCATCAAAGGAATCACCTGAAGGTAAACAAGCATGATCAGAGAATGAAGCATAGTTTCAGATAATAACGACAATAGGAGTAAAAGTTTTTCGCAACCTTAAGGGGTCTTTATAGTTGAAAATTTCGTGAGTTGCGGTAAAAGAGCATGAAAGTAAGTAGCCCCTATTGCAAATGAATCACCGAAGTCGAAAGAAATAGCTTAATCTATTGATCTCTTAGGGTGACTTGCATAAATATCTCTTTACAACATCTCCCCTGAATCACACAGTATGGTGACGAGAAAGGTAATGATCACCAACTAAAGACGTTCTTGATTGTTAACCAAATTCTCCTCGTCAGCACCTTAGGAAATGTTTAGAGATCAGTAGGGAGAATATGTACATTGATGTTAGGGGGTAAAGAATGATCAGGGTAATTACCTGTGAGGTATTGTTGGAAAACAGAACTTTCAAGTCTTGTTTGAAGACAAGTTGTCTGTCGCCATCATCTGAGGTAACGAGCATTACACCGCCAGTTTCTTCTTGTCCTGCAGTGAGGTCGTTCACTTTAAGAACAAGCTCGTCAGACAAGAAAAATCCAACTTTTAACTGAAATGGAAGCGGAGCACAATAAAATTATGAGTGTTTATTTCCAAACCGCACACTCGCTGACTCAATTCCCCCATATATATTGACACAAAAACAAAGTTTTGTTCTTTGGCCTTGAGTCAAATTGCATAATCGACATGAGCAGCAAAGGACATAAATTGAATTTCTGCGTTCTGTTTGTTGAGCAACAATGTGGTAATATTGCATTTGATTATGTAATCTGGAAGAAAGTGGTTGCACTCATTGTTCCTGTTTGCAGTTAAAGTCTTTCTCTTCTTCCTAAAATGCTATGTGGCTGTTATAATGAAGTCGGGTTTCAGGGAGTTAAAACACCAAAGAGTTAATTGTAATGAACAAGTTTAACACAAGTACATGGCGAGAGAAGCCTCCACCGCGCATGCGTAAACACATGCTTAATGAATGAGACATTACAGCTGCAAAGCTCCTTTGCTCATCCTGGTCAATCCGGGCACACACCAATCTATTTAATTGCAATTTTCCATTTTCCCTCAAACGTGCTCTCTTTCACGAAGGTTGTCGAAGCTGATGCTGCTTCATCGCTAACAAAATCAATCCTCTTACCTCTAACGTTTTAGCAGGTTTAATGGTGATACTGCCTGGAGACTGGGACTTTTTTGATTTGGCTGATTGGGGAGGCTCAGCGGAAAGAATCTTAAATGGAGCCTGCACATCAAATCGCATGGTCAGCGGGGTTTCTGTGGTGTTTCCCAAGACAAACCGATGTACCAAGGGTGTGTCACCGTTCAGCTGTTGGCGAGAGGCAAAATAAGACAGTAAATTGAGGGTGCAAAGGAATTCTTGGGGACTCCGGAAATAAAACCATTAAAAAAGAAATGATCTTCGTCATGATGTTGCTTCATTTTGCTTTATTTTGTTTAGTGAATTTGTTGTGTTTCGTTTTTTTTTGTTGCTGTTGTTCCTTATTTTCATCGGGCTTCTTTCATACGTCGCGAGACATGACAGCAAGCACCTATTAATTCATGTAATTCCTAAAGATAATATATTAAATCATTTTACACACATAAGCCTGCACACATGAGCCTGCAATTTACCAGGTCCTTACCCCACTATTATATTACTCAGTTGGTTAGAGCACCGCACCAAGATTTCAAGATCACAGGTTAGCACACTTAAAATAATTAGGATGAAAAACAATTTATAATACTTGTAAACTGGAAAATCATCATAACCAACATAAAAATAAATAACACTGGAATGCAACTGACCAAATCAGACGCTGCCGTAATAAACTCGGTTCCCTTATCTTCTTCAGTTTCCAGAGAAAGTCTGTGGTGCAAAAAGAAAGAGGGAGTTAAAAACAGGAACGATATTCACTAGAAACGAACCTTGAAGTAGAAAAGAATTCTCTAATAAACAGAATAAGTAACTCGAAGAACATACTACTGGTAACTTTGCCGAACCATACTTTGAAAAACGATTTAAACAATTTCTGAGAGCATGACGGTCGATCCAATTCGGGTTAATTGAGCCAAAGGTTTTAAACAAACTGTGAGTATCATTTAAACAGCTTAAGTTCTAGTTGTATCTCTTTTTTCTTTTTGTCTTTAGAAGGCACGTGTCGTGGGGTGGATGAACACTTGTGATTCTCATGTTGCTCGCTACACCTTCCCCAACTACATCTCCTCCAGCCTATTCTGGTTGTTTTGGCTGGTATTCCTTGTTCGTCATCTTACAGCTTATGTAATTCCTTTCCTTTCTCATGATGTTTATAGAAGTATTTAAATTGAACTAACTTCAATTAAAACAATAGCTTACATGGCAGGATCAATGTTGGCCGTCATGTCCAAGCGGAAGGGACGTAGCTCTACTTCATGTGATCGTCTCACCCGCCCTGGAATTTCAAGAAGCTGAAGAAAGAATCAAAAGACCAAAACAATTTACGGGAGAATGGTTAGCAGATACGAGGATCAGACGCATATTCTTGGCAGAGTTCGATTGAAATCAGTGGCGACGAAAGACCTCTAACTTTGTTCTCTGCGGCTCATTTTTTAAGGTAAGTATATTAGTTTCTGTTGTACCCTAGATTTTCTACCAAGACAATTGCTACTCCCCCCCTGGATGGGATGCTAATCCATAAGAGAAAGCTCCTCCTACCCTCCCCTCCCCTTCCCCTAACGATTCACCAAGTTTCCTTGACAGTTTTCTGGTTGGTGATATCTGTTCAAACTCGCGGGAAGAAAGGGGTGGGACACTTCCCTAAAGAAAAACTGCCCTAACAAGTTTACAAAACAATGACCCGAGCCCAAAGCACTCGATCCGGTTTCAAGTACGCCAGCTATTTTCTCACAAAACGTGGAACACACTACGATAAAAAGATAAGCGTATTTCTCATCACCAACCTGTGGATCTAAACTCATATAAGCCGCGGCATATGCTGCACAAACTTCTCCAGATGGGTTTTCCGTGAAAGGATAGAATGACATTTTGGCAGAAGAATGGCTCTTGGCCGGAATAACCTGTGCCAAAAACAAAGAAATGACAAAAATCATGGTTCACATGTTATTAATCGTCTAAAATTCACACTTTACTACCATCACCACAAAGTGTCACGATTTTCTGTAACGTAGTTCTCAGAAAACCATCAAAGATATTTCTCAGGGAGAGAAGTTTCAGGCCCTTAAGAGGAAAGCTTCTTAAAGGAAAGCTTCTTAAAGAGTTGTGTGATATTCGAGAAAGAACAACTGGGAGAGAGATTATTCTTTACTGTATTCATCTGGTGCTCAACATGAGATTTAGAGAACAACTTTCAGTCGAGTGTCGAAAGTTTCCCGGGATTGCTTTTGTTTTGTTTGGCTTTGCTTTCTGACTGGTCCGGAGAACTCGCACCCACTCTCTCAACCGATCAGATGCATAATTTATAACCAATCACGACTTGGTCGCCAGCGTTTTCCCGCGCTTTAGGCGGTCTGTTTGTCTTTACTCTGAGTTCTCATTGGTTCTCCAAGGTATTTTTCTTTCCTATGGTTGGTTTTTGTAACTACTATGGGTTTGATTTTTCGACATTCAATCTAAAAGCACTCAAATTTGTGAGTGATTTTAGCAGGAAACTGTATATCAAACCTGCTGGCTAGGCGTAACTTCAAAAGGTCGGTTTGCGCGTATGCCTTCATGTTCTCTCAGTTTTACTTGTATAAAAGGTTTCTCCTCGCAGGGGTAACAATCCTGTTCCTGTAAAGCTGGTACTACTTCCTGGCCATCCTGTATTACGGGCAGAGGCTGACCAACAAAAACCAACATATCCAGGAGTTGGTTGTCCTGTGGGAGAATGTTGTATGATTCCCAGTCCAAGCGAATGTCTGGGAAAAAATGATAATTCAATAGAGGACGCTTAACAGGTGTGATAAAGAAAGGAGTGTACTGGAGTGCACTGTGGACGATATTGCTTCTCACGATAATGCTTGTCACTCAAACCTTGTTTTTCAAAAATTTCAATTATGTTTTAAAATGACGTAAAAACACATCGCAGCGATGTAAGTGATGACATGATGGCAGCAGTGAGTTAGTTTGTACGTAGGTTAGCCCGTCAGCATTTACGTGACTAGTCTACTGGCTTTATTGTTAGGCAACTCATAAGCGCCCAAACTGGATGACAATCGCTTGAGTTCGAAGCTACAATTAACTCACCAAATGGGCTGGTATTATTGATTCTGAGCGATCTCTGAACTAACGGGGCTCCAGAAACGTGCGTGCCAAATCTGCAGACAAAAATATATTCAAAGCATTATTTTATTATTTAGATCCAAATTTCAAGCAAAAGGTCGGTAAATGCACGTTTCCGCCGACAACTCACCGCAAGATTGGTGCCTGATCTTTCATCATTTGAAAATTAAGGGGACAACCCACTACATCCATTTTAACAGGAATGTACACTGGATCAATACCTTCAATCTGAAACAGACAAAGAATTATGAAAAAATTCCTTTATTGTGATAAAGAAACATGTGGCCTTTTTCATTCTCTCGTTTCGTTTCGTTGCGTTTGTTTTGTATTTACTTTTTTGTTATTAAAGTACTTCAATTCGATTCTCTCTTCTTTCTTTTCTTCGACTTGCCATATAATGCAGATTGCAAGTGAGTAGTTTTATGTATGTATTCTAGAAAACATACGACGTGAATTTTTCATGTAGCGTTGCGGCACAAAAAACAACAACAATAACGACTTCTACGTCACGCCATATAGATCAGCATGATAGAGGACTTTCAGGTGACGCATGTAGCGTCACACTTACCTTACAAATCAACAAGTCTCTGTATTTCCCCCACATGTCACTGTGTCCTGTGATTTCAATCACTTGGTATCCAAATGGTGACAATTCACCGGATGCTGGACTTGCCACAAACGCTACCCCTCTTCTTTCACGCAAGATAGCTTGACAGTATTCTAAAACAAAAGCGTTCGGTACGTAAAAAGAGATTAACAACCATCATAATAATTGGTATCATCTTTTAATCTATTCTTGGAAATAATTCACAAAACTCCATAACTTTGTAGGCTTTTTCCGGGCCATAAAAATTCTTCAAAATTCTAGTCAATGAGACCTCCAGTACTTAAAACCCCTCGCAGCACTCTCTCCGAGAACGTGCTACGTAAAGTTGTGGACCCTCGCCATGAGAGAACTCGTTGCGTGATTAATGCGCTCCCTCCGTAAGAGGACGTGTTGCAAGACCTAATACGTTCTCTTCGTGAGAGAACGTTCTGCGGAACCAGACCACACAATAGCTGCGAAAGAGACCACTGACACGGTAGAATGAGTAGACAGACTGCGAGAATGAAGAAGGAGGAAAGGATACTGCTACTCTGGCCACCAACCTTCATGTGCTTTCATAGCAGTTCTACTGATTGGATCAGCGATATTTGGTGTTCTTCCCAGTAATCGCGTCCTAAAGACAAAAGAAGCATTCTTAAAATGATTCTCAAAACATTGGAGTCATTATTAGTATAATTATTATTATTATTATTATTATTATTATTCTGTTAACCCTCTACACCCTAACATCAGTATGCATATTCGCCATACTGTTCGCCATACAATTTATTTAAGATTGAGAGAATTTATTTTAACAATCAAGAGCTTCTCTTGTTGGTGATTATTTTATTTGTTCTCAAGACCTTAATGTTTGATTCAGGGGTGATACTGTAAGAAGGAATTAGATGCCGGTCACTCTTAAGGGTTAAAGGGTTACTTGTTGGTGTAATGATCAGTAATAAGAGCGTTGTAAATACTGTTGGATAATTGATTCTGTATTGTTGCAAGTATTGTGAGCAAGTATTTTCCGTGATTGTCTGTTTTAAAACAGGACACAAATAAAATGAAGTGAGATAGATTTTAAAAAATTAAATGAACAGATAGGTATTCTACGGTAAACTCTGCACCAACCTTTTGCTTTGAGGGACACCTAAGAGGAAGGAAAAAAAATAAAGTTTAAAACAGTAAGATTGTTATAACTATTAATGAAGTCCCTATTCATTTCCTCTTCTTTGTTTGTTTGTTCATGTTTTTTTTTTCGACGCTCGTGCCCAATGTATAGCATTTTTCTTTAAGGTCTGATTACTGATAACTTTCACCTGAGAAAAGGTTTGCGAACAAGCTCTCGTGAAAATGTTTTGTTGAAGGAGTAATAGTGCGACAGATCTCCTTTGCGAGAACTTGCTCAGAGATTTTCTATGATATGGCGTATTTTATTCTACTCACTCAAGAATCTAACTCACCGTCTGGTGGTGTCGGTGGTTTGGCTGCTTTGAAGTAATCCATCTCTATACTGAAGTGTGCTCTTATGGCTGAAGTGTTGGTAATAACAAGAGTTGTGCGAGGACAACTGGCGAGAGCAACAGTTTCAAAGTCTAACAGCAGCTCTCGATCATCGAGGGAAGCTTCCTTAATCTCGTCAGGTCTGAAAAATAAGAGAGAAGGGAAGAACCATTATCACATCTTCTGGTATGTTACTTCGAGTTAGAAATTATGACTAGGTTTAAATGATTTGTTGTCTTCGTATTTTTCTTTGGGAAGCAGTGCTATGTCAATGTAAGGTTATGAATAAAGTTTAATTCTAGTTGGGCAAAAAGTAAATCACTATATTAGTAAAGACAACAAAACTAAATAAAATCCTGAGGCTTGATTACTAAGAGACCCCAGATTATTCCCTCTCCTTCTCTTGTAATAAATGTAAAAATCCTAAAACAATTTTTTTTGTCTGTCACGACGGTGGGACGAACAAAACTTTTTGAGTCCCCAAGGAATCGAATCGCAGACCTTTGAACCTCGGGCCATTTGATTCCGCGCGGAATCTGAAAGTCTGAGGTGTCAATCTTCATGGGAACTCAGAGTGTTTTCTTGATCAAACCCTCTTTCGTTTCTTTCAATACCGGACTCAAAATGTACCATCTTACTTAATCTATTTACTCACACGAAAATCTTAATTTCCGAAAAAAAATCTTAATGTTTCTGTTTTTTAACTTTTCACTTACCGGTCAAGGTCAAAGAGCTTTGGAGTCTCAAAGGTGACACTGAGCCCCTGTACATCAGCTGTAATTGACAGCCACACAGGATTCAGCATCCTCACTACCTCGCAGCACGTCATCAGATCGCTTATAGGACCCTGTTGGACAGATCAAGCGTCAAACATGAATAAACTGTACCGATACCCAGACGGAAGCCGAAAGTACTTCGTGTACCCTACCTTCTTATATCCTGTAAACGTCACCTTGATTGAACGCTCTTCTCTAGGTTCCAGGACTCCCCGGTTCGGTTCGAACGTGAGGGTGTAGTCTCCTTGGAGTATCTGGAGCAAACAAGTTAAAAACCATTATGTAAAGACTTACAAACCCAGTAAGCTAAATTTTCTCGTCAGTGAGACTGACTTAAACAGCTGCTACTGTTACCGGATCACGTACACAAAATCAACAAACATATTTTAGGAAAAAACAAACGACGATTCTACAGAATTCCATCGGGCCATTGGACAGTACTTAGGACCTGAGCAAGCAGAGACGACGCAGAATTCAAATAATATTTAATGCTATCTCCCAGAAATCGGATTGTTCAGTTTGGTATGAGTTACCCCGGCAACAGCAATTGCACTGTACGCCTTTATTTCTGCACTCACCTCTTTCCACTTGTACTGCGCTCTCAGCAGGGATTGATTATGAAGCACAACTTCTCTGCTGACAGGGACACCCAAATAAACCTTCTCTATGTACATGTCACACGACAGCAAACACACTTGAGGTCTCTGCACTTCAGCAAAGACAGATAAATAGCTGAAAGAAAAAAAAAGAAAGGTGAGCGAAACCAAAAAGTTTCAACTTTAGTAAAATGTGACCTAGTTCATAAACAGGTTCTCTGGAGCTCATATGGCGGAGCATTTTGAGAGCTCGATTGACTATCGGTTGCCTCTAAATTTATTTAGATAATACTTGCTTTGCGTAACTACTACCACAAACTGCGAGGAAATTTAGAATATTTGAAATGACAAAGCACTCGGAATAGAAATCATGAAACTTTCATATCCAAACTACAAACTCATTCTTAGGAAGCAACAAAAGTATCACAATCATTCTTCCACCAATGATTCCATCTATGATATTGTTGTACACGTGCGATGCCAAAAGCTCCATAAAATAGCCCTGACTGTTTCCAAAGCCCTAATCAACTCAACGGTGTCGTGATTATAACGCGTTCGCAATTCTTGCAGTACAGGATTTTCGAGTGAAAATAAAAGTTGACGCCTTTTACCTTGTTTTTCCATTCTTGACTTCACACTGGAGCACAGTCCTCACTCTGCCTGTATCAGCTGGTGTATATAATACAGCTACTTCCTTGCTTTCTTGTGGACCCAGGACTCCGGACGGGGGAGTGAAGGAAAACTGGGAAACAACCTCCTCGTCACGTAACTGCTTCAGGATCAAAACAAAAGATAAAACTAAGGGACTCTCTAGTATAACCTAAGTAATGTTGAATTTTGTTTTTTTGTTTAAATTAAGTAGATGTAGCTTAAATGAACAATAATTTTATCTTGTTTGTTACCTGAGCACACTCTGGTGATTCCTTTAAGCTCCACTCCGCCGAAATATTTGAAATGTTCTTTATAGTTATGTGTTCATAGCCATTCAGTTCTCTGAAGCGAACGAGATTGAAATTCAAGTCTGGACAGGTGAAAATAACCTCTGGTCCCTAAAAAGAAAGCGGTACAAAAAAAAAAAGACAAAATTACCGAATAAGTTTGAGCTGTTTGCGTCACATTAAGAAGATCATGTGTTGCACAACGAAAATATGGTATTATTATATAGAGTAAAGCAGTGGATAGCATTGAACGCGCGCTCTGATTGGGTACTCAAACTCCGAATATCCTTTGCTATTTACCTCCGAACAATGTGCGCAGGATTTGCTCCTGTAATCTTTGCACGAATAAATGAGTTAAAATTATCTTTTTGTGCTGTATTATCTCACTGTTTTAGCGTACTTAAACAACTATTCAAGTTTGTCCTGCTGGAAAATTTCATAACGGAGCTGACAATTGCTCTTCACAGTGTACTTACTTCAAAACTGGCCTTTACATAGACATAGACTGGAGCCGACGAGTGCTTCAAGTCGCAAAATATCGTCTTCTCTATGTGAATTGGTTCATCTGCCATTAGAACTAACTCTAGGTCGGCTTCCTGTCCAGCGCCTGATTAAAAGGATAAGATGTCTTCATTTAAAAGAAAAAAACGAATATAACAATTAATTCGATTTAAACAACAACCTGAAAATAGTTGTTGGCAAGAGTAGGCGAAACGTCAATCCATTTTAACCTTGGATTGAACGCTTATGGTCAAAACCTTTCAATGCTAGATATGAAAAACTCGTCTTCTCCTTTCAGCATCAATGCCTTAACTAGTTAAAAAAACCGATCAGAATACAAAAATTAATCGACTAGAGTGTGCAATCTTGACCTAACATCGAATTCTCTTCGCTATATTTATAGAGAAAATGTATAGTACCTTGGAAGCCCAATGACTTAACAGATCTTTCAGGTTTAACGGTGGAGACGAGACGATTCACACAAATAGCACTGTACCTATCACAGATGATTTCGGTTCGATTGACGCTCTCCACGATGTTCCTTCTTCATTTCGCCATGAAACCCTTGCTTCTGAAACGCTGTTGTTGACCATCTAAATCAGGTAATTCCAGTTAATAAAAAATAGGAAAATATAAAATTACTTTAGTATATACAGTACGGCTTCCTCATACTCAAAAATGCTTGGCGATTGCTAATAAGAAAGCACTATGTTTCGGTACTGACCTTCAAAGGAAATCTGTATGGAACACCTACTGTTAATGTACCAGGGCAAACAATCGCCGGAGGAGAGACACACACGTCAAGAGGCTAAAATATAAAGATTTTGACAATTATAAAACAGATCAGACACAAAAAATGTTCGATCATGTTATGATTATCATACAGAGCAATCATGCCAGAGAGGTTAGCCTTGAAAACGGCTGTTGCTATTACTAAACGGCATCCGACTACTTCATCATTGCAAGGACTGTTCTTCGCCCCGCCTCTTGTTTGGAAAACCACTTGACCCTTCAACTGCTTGCAATTAACCTGTAAGCTCTCTTCGTAACATCCCGAAATTACCCAGCAAACACATGAGAATAGACAACCTCCTTAATTTGATCTTGACATAACACCACAACCTCTTAACCGATTAATGAGGAAACGTAATCTAGCTGGAAGGGAGATTTACTCATCAGATCATGGGAGAGTTAACGGGATTGATTCGACCAAATTTTTATGGCCTAACAGGGGTTGGATCTGCCTAGGGTCTCGCTTAACTGCATCTTGTTGTTTGAAGGACGGTTTTGCGCAAGAAAAGGAATAGTTGATACTTTACTTTGCTAACGGCTTTCATTTCGATTTGCACCGCTGTCACGTCTTTCACGTCATTTGTTGTAGAACCACCGTCATCATAAATCGGAATCTCCTCCAGGATCAAATGACCCACTGCGTGAAAACTACCAACCTACATTGAGAAGGGAAGGTCGAGAAAGGTAAACTCGTTCATTCAGAGGTTTATTTTTCTGCGTTGGAAACCAGCAGTTAGAGTAAGCCACACAAAATTTGGTGTTTTTAGTAGTAAAACTGCTGCTCTGTATGATACAATTTGGATCCATATATGAACGAGGATGACGATGCAGCTTAAACAATCTGATAACAGTACACAGTTTAAACGAGGAATGGTTTACAGAATAAATTCAGGTGCCATGCTTGCTATGGGTATTTAATGCCAAATACAAAATCGGATTTGAGAGTGAATGAGGTCAATATTTCTTTTCATCGTAGAACTAAACCAAACTTTAATAAAGTTGTTTGTCTTAACTCTCTGTATTTGAAGTGGAACTAACACAATGAAGTGAAACGTTGTTCAAAACACGATACCTCTCTTGGTTCAAATTCCAATATGAAATCCACAGACTGCTGAGGTGGCAATGTGCCCATATTTGGCGTGACCCGAAACACTCCGTTTTCATCCAGACTCCGTGGCACGTGCGATGATGTCATCGGTGACTGCACAGGCATTCCAGGAACAACAGGACACCTAAAGAATGGCCTGTAGAGTTTCCAACGGAAAGGCAGGGGGACATTCCTGTACAAAACGAAAAGTTAAAAATGTAATGAACTTGAAGGAAACCAATGAGCTTCTTAGCTTTATGAAGTTCTTTAGTAAGGACAATTAATCCCAACGCAGCAAGCCATTCAGAGCTGGCATTCATATTGTATCGCAGTGTTGTCCAAGTGAGGACAGAATACGAGCAGTTCCTACTTTTCAACGAAGTCCGTCGTGCGAGTCGGAGTTTCGCGCGTCTCGCTGAAATAATTTTTTTTTCACTGATTTTTCTTTTAATCGCGCGACGGACTTCGTTGAAAGGCAGGGACTAATGTAGTCCAAAGTCAGGAAGGGTCTCAATACAACTACCCTAGCTCTCGAGTTACTCATGACATAAAACAAATTAAAATAAATACTCTTACTTCATGCATAATTTTTATTTCATAGAAGTCAGCACATCTGTGATAATTATAGAGGCCGTGAACTTGTTCCCGTATAGAACGGGGAGCAAAATAGTTCTCGTCATAAAAGCCAAAATCTTTGCGAGCGTTTCCGCAAAGCTTAGCCAAGAGACGTTCACACACTCCTAAATGATTAGTAAGAACTTGCTCAGTGACTCACGTTGTGTTTTTGATAACTACTGTCTTCTCTGTAGTTGTTTCGGGGTTCCTTTCACTGAATCTTATAAAATGTTGTGCTGATATATCTCTTATTTCTCCAATATCTGTCTCACTAAGCCCTCCTGAGACTGATTCAAGCTCCACTCCGGCCAATTGACCCGAGCCTATAAAAACACAACATAAGGTTAAAAAGCCACAACCTACACTAGGGAAGAGGAAAGTTGTCTTCCTGGAAGTTCTTTGTGGAATGTGTCCCCTGGTTCTTCAAACCCTAATCCTATCCATACTATTTTCTCGAACGTTTTCCAAACTCTAGCCTTTAAAATCCCAACTCATTTTCAGTCTGGCCTTCCTTCTCAAAGTCGCAAATGACTGTTGCGATTAAAGATTTTCCCATCAAATTTCGTTTAGCGTAATTCAGCTTTGCATCAAAGCTAGCGTCATAAATAGTTAACATTCACAAAATAGAGAAAGATGTTTTATCGTCTTGTCACGAGCGTGGGACAAAGAAAAAGTCCTGAGTCCTCGTGAGGAAAGATCCGTAGGTCTGAGGTTCGTTTCCTCATGGGGACTCAGAACTTTTTCTTTGTCTTAGGCTCGTCACAAGACGAAAAAACATCTTTCTCTATTTCTTTATCGACCTCACCACTAACCATCTTTTTCGTTCTTCTATTCACAAAATGTTCAGCTCGAATAATATATTTCATTTTCTTCCCTATCTCCACCATTTATTTAAAAATGAATGAAAGAGGTAAGGAGGAAAATGACTTTAAAAAGTCAGAAAGACAAGTACGTTCTCGTAGTTCCTTGGGAAATCATATCCGATTAAATACCAGAAACACCTCTTACTAACCGAGTTCAAGGTCTAAACTGTAAGTTAAGGACCGCAAATGTTTTCCGCTCGGATTATGGCCCAAGCGAAGGGGCTAGCAATTCGGACCGAAAAAGAAAACAAGGCTGGTGAGACATTTATTACAGTTCTGGATTCAAATAGAGGAGGATGATTTCACTTTAAACAAACTTTTTTTTTTAATTTAGCTTACCAATTTACTTTGTACTATCTGAGAGGTATAATAATGGTCTCAATCCATATCCAGTTTCAAACTAAATCGTGTCTAAGACCACATGCTTAAATACTACATAAGAACATTTCAACCTATCAGCATCAGTTTTTATTATCAGGGAGAGTAAAATGCAGTAAACGAAATATGTATACTAAATACAATTACTTTCGTCGTCTAAGAACTCAAACTTTCATCCCTTCCTGTATTCTTATCATAAACTGAGCAGAAATAGTTTCATAATGTGTGTTTTCTTTCTTAAGACAGTTTGCTTACCTTCAAGAGAAAACTCCTTGACATGGCAGTTGTCACAAACAAACACCACCTCCTCCTTGAAGTACTTGGCTGAAGTGGGACAGAATGTGATCTGGAATACAACAGTGAAACAATTCAACCAAGTTCTTGACCGCGCAGTAGAGCATCAGACTGTGATATTTGAAGGTCTGGGTACTAAGATTTAAATTTCACGCTTGTGACAAAAGGAGTTCCTCTTTAACATATCGTTTTTTGATGTTGATGGTTCATGTTCTGAACGTCAGGCCACTACAATTCAGGTTAATCAATTCATTCATAAACTACTGAGCCTTCGTTACCTCCAGTGTGGTCACTGCTCCAGCGTCCAGCTTGAACATGGCTGGTTTTAGTTCAAATGGTTCAGAAAAAACTGATCCGGGATCTTCAAGGGTCCACTATGACACAGAATAAAAGTAAACAATTAATCAATTATAATTTTCACGTGGTAGGCGATTATATGAAAGACGCACCAGCAAACGTTGTAGAGGCTGAGTCTTAAGCTACATTAGCCCTCTAGGGATGCTTTTCTTGTTATTTGATTTTTTTTTCACGCAAAAATTTTTGTCCAGTGAAAACTCTCGCACAAGTCTTTGTAACGGACGACGAAGAAGCTTTTTTCAATGAATGTACTGTGAGCCTCATAAGTTATTATTTTTTAGTTTTAACTTTTTTGTCCCTTTTTTTTCAAGTTTTCTCATAGTTCTTTTGCAAAACTTTTAATTTGCAGGTTCATGTATTTCCATTTCCATTGACATACGTACCTCAAAACTTGTCGTGGGCCAACAAGATTTCCTCATGATACAGAACTTTCCATCACCTCCTTTGTTTTCACAAACAACCTGGACAACTTTCTTTCCTCCCACCAAAGTATGGCCACAGTCAAGTATCGGAGACACTAAAACCAACAAACAGGAGCAAGGGCGGATACATGTTTTTAATTAATGAAAGCATGAACTGTTCAAAGTTAAGGGGAATAACAACCATGTATTTCAAATAAGGGAATTAAGAGAGATAGTAAATTTGATCCTTTATCTGTTACTAAAAAACTAATATATCTAATAAATATCTCACTGAACACGTAAGAGTCTGCAGTTGCAAAAAAAATTTAAGGAAAACAAAAGTGAATCAGCTCCAGTAGTTTCTTCATTGCCTCAGTTACTGACAAATATCAGAAAATCAAAAAAAGGAAATGACAAAAATATGAAAGATGACCAACATGAACTTCAAGATGGAAACAAGCCAAAATTTTTTTATTTTTTACTTATTCCAATTATCAATTAGTTTTGTGGCTTGCAAGCATGCCCTGATCTCCTATGCAAATAAACTAAAATTATTAATATAGATTTTTTTAGTTACACATACTGTGCATTCTTTAATACACTGCCACATAACATGTTTGCTACCATGTGTATATGTATGCCTAATATACATTTACAGAAGATTACAATTAGACTTCCAGTACACTCATATGTAGATTTGAAACAAAATGTAGCAATGATAAACAATTAACTTACAACTCAGCACAGGGGGTGGCCGTCTGCCTTGAAGTGAGATAATCATTGGAGGGTCCACCTGGGTTTTCACCTAAAACAGTGACCATATAAAACATAACTAAGTAGATCAGCAAAAGGGGTAAGTTTCTAAAGAAACTGTGGTGCTGTCAATGTGAGAGTGTAACAAGACAATTGTGGTTTTTTTTTTTAAACTGTGTTGATAAATAAATGTGCAGTTAGCAAATTGGCCACTGTAAAGAGTTTCAAAGCTGAAAACATAGTTAAGCTTTGAAACTCTTTATGGTGGCCAATTTACATTGTCAACTCTGTTTATAAAACCAAAATTATCCTGTCAACAAATCAGTAGGCTGATCACAAAAATATTATATAACCTAATTTCAAAAAAAGTAAAATAAAATGAAACACTGATTTCAACATGTACATATGTAGAACTTTACAGGTACAAATAAACCTCGTCCCAACTTCAACAAAAAATTCTCAAACTAAAGCTGAAAAGAAAATTATCAAAAGAGGCCTTGAACATCTCGATAATCATCTTAAGCTCCATTCTCAAAAAATACAAAGTAATGAGATATGAAATTTTATCATGATTCTTATTTGGTCAAGGAATCACTTTATCATTAAACTGAAAAATCCTGAAATGTTTTAATTAAACTTTCTACCAGCAAGTTACACAGTCAATCAAGTTATGGCCCACAATACATTTGAGTGGAAGGTATGAGTTTCACTGTTGGTTAACCAATTAAAACAAGTGCTGTTAATAACTATTCAATGTAAATTAATAGCCATGAAATTACACAAAGAAAAATAATGCCAGTTGTCATTTCTTGGTAAATTTACCTTAATAATATCATCATAGTCGGCAAGCGAATCAGGAGCAAATTTGATTGGATACTGACAGCTTAGACCTGGAGCAACCACACCATGTTCACCAGGGAATCTCCCTAATCCAACAGAGAAGTATTTTGTAGCTGGTGGAGTAAGTCTTAGTTGACGACTTGATGATGACACATTTTTCAGGTCTAAAAGGAGCTGAAAGAAAAACAATCATGGAACTGTTAGCACCTTCATTTATTATTCTATGCTGCTTGATATCTATGGGTTGAGAATTAACCTAAAATTCTTTAGGTGTAGATGTTTGAGAGGGACAAATCAAATCAACTAATTACTACCTCTTACAAGAAGTATATGGCAGTTTATTCACAAAATGATCACAAGTTCCAAATCAAAAATTCTGAAACATGCATGCACAGTGTTGTCCTTAGAAACCTGTCCCACTTCATGGCTTGTAAACAAAACCACTTCTTCTCCAACTCCCACATACAAGTACATGTATCTTTACTACCTTTCATACAGAGTTATTTAATCAAAATTATGTTTCAATATTCAGACTTCAGCTTAACATTCATGGTTTGTTTATCTACCTAATATCTGTGGCTATGAAGGATAAGGAAAAAGGTACAAATTTATACCCACCCATTACAGAAAGTGTGTGAGGGGTTATTTACTCAGAATCACTAGTTACCATATGAAAATTCTGCCGCATTAATTTTATGCATACCTCATAAACTTGTCCAACTTCATAGCCTGTAAAAACCACAGGGGATGGAGAGGCAATAAATACTTCAACAGGATCAGCAGATCTGAATTTTAAGGAGGAAAATCAAGCAAACTTTAATTCATGTATTTCGACTAGGACAGAATGTAAAAATCAATCAGTTCAAATTCATATAATTAACAAGTTTAAACATAATCTGCACTTACTGAGGTCTTTCTTTGTCTGTGTCTGGTTTCTTCTTCTTAGCTACTTTTGTGAGACCTCCTTTGAGTGGAGGCACAAAGCGTGGGTTTCTTTTGTACTCTGCTTTGCTCTGCAACCTTTGAAGATCTTCTCGCTCTAATTGTCGCTTATCTGGTTTCATGGATTCTCTCCAGACTGCAGACTTGGAGTGCTGGCTTTTAGCCTTTAGAAAAAAGAAAGTGCTATAAATACAAATATTATTAAAAACTCTGTAAATTTCAAATAGAGATTAATTTGCGTTAAGGGTAACTGAAATTACTCAATTATCAGCAATTATCAATGGAAACTTAATAAAGTTGAAATCTTTCAGTTTGTTATTTCAGTCTTTTATTGAGAAAAAGTCAAATTTAAACTGATAAACCTAAAAAGGTGATACAAAACAAATTCTAATATTTATGTATTGTCTAGCATTACAGTGAGAAATAAAAATGGCAAAATCAAGGCTTAAAGAACCTGACAGTCAAGCCCAAAGCTTCAAAAAGTTTAACTTGTTTATTTAAGTTTCAACAGAAAAATAATGCTTACACTAGGGGGTGGTGTTATATTCAAATCTCTCTTCTCTTTTGCCTGTGTGGGTGGTAGTGACGTCCATGGCCATGTTGATGTTGACAGAGCAGTATCATCCAGGTACTCTGTTAATGGAGGTGTTTTTCTGTATCGCTGCTGAGATGATGTTGTTGGCCTGGCATAGCTTGGTATTTCATCAGCTATAATAACAATATTTGTTTAACTAATTAGTGATGCAATGACTTTACACAGCAGTAATTAAAAGTATTGTTCAAGTGTGCTCCACACTTAAACAACTTTGTGATCTTATACTGAACAGGTGCACTGCCACACAGAATGTAACTGCTCTACATGTTTATAATAAAGAACAAAGTTGTTCACAATGATGTCAACTTAGTACTTCTGTCTTCTAATATAGCATAGTTACATAGGAATTAATTCAAATTTGTGAATATCATTCAGCTTATTTTTTAACCTAGGATAAAAGCTGACCTTGTGGAGCTTTAGATGGAGAAACCTCTTCTGAAGAGAAATCTTCTGGAACAATGAGATTGTAGCGTCGCAGTAACTGAGTGTCTAGACAGTTTCTGAGGTGTGATTTTGCTTAAAGAAAAAATTGACAGTCAAGTAGGTTTAGAATTAAGTAACAGTCTCTTGCAAAATTTTCAGAACAATTACTATGTCATGGAGATATATAATCAACAAGTAAATAAAAACCACAAACAGTCCATGTACTTTACCTGGTGGTAATCCCAATGATTGGTAATTTTCGTACCCTTCTGAAATTCTTTGCAGTTCCCTCTCATCAGCGGCCATAGCTGCAGCTTGAGCTTGCATGATGTGAGCTTCCAACATGTCTGCTTCTCTGTGCCTTCGATCTTGTTCCTCTTGTATCTTAATAAGAGCAATTGATTAATATGTATACTATTACTATGGCTAAATGCTATTTTAAGTACCAATACATGTTACTTATAGCATCATTATTTACTGTTTCCTTGATCACATTGTTCTTAAAGGTTCAAGTTTAAAAAGAGTAAGGCCTATCACCCAAGTTCTATGCATTCTGTCTTTTGTAAAGAATCACATAATATATTTCATCAACAAGAAATTAGCCCATAATTTTTCCCTGTTTTTGAGTAACACTACATTGAATCTTGAAGGAACAAGGGACTATCTTTGGACTCCTTAATATCAGCAGATTTTGAGAATTTTTTACTTGCCTTCAAGAATAAACCCATGGATCTCATTGTTGATGCACGATCAATTTTGATTGATCTTAACACGAATTTTACACCGTCTTGAAGGGAAGTATGTCAATGTTAATGGAAGCGCATTTAATTTCAAAGTTTATTGGCCATTAAGGATTCTATTATTGAAACCTGATGGCTGCTATAACAATAAAAGTAGCTAGGTTTACAGAGCAACTGCAGAATACCCTGCCAAAAAAAAGTTTCTTCTTATTTATGATCACGAATAGAATATAAAGCAACAGGAAAATTTTGAGTAAATTTAAGCCACCCCTTTTCTTCACTAACAGTATATGATTAAGCTAACACAGCTGAGTTCGTGATTACACTGTTGATGTGATTACCAAGATCAGCTGGGATGTTCATTTTAATGTATCACTGATTCAATAACTTGAAAACTACTACAAAACTTACACATTTCCTACCTGCCTTAGTTGCTCCACATATTTATCATGGTAACCAGCGTCTCCACTCATAGAAGTAGCGAGGTGTTTCACAGTTTCTTCTCCGATAACATCACGAGTAAAAACTTCCCTAAACACACTTGCCAGTAAATGCGACACATCTTGAGAACGACTCGAAGATGGCCGTTGAAGATGCATCGGAGGCTCGACTTCTACCTCCTTTGCGTGTGCCATTTCGATGGTTTATTGCTTCCTTCGCGTTATGCTGCTAATAAACAGCGAGGACTGAAAGGTTCCTCACTTCACTTTTCGACCGCCATTTTGAAGCAGTTGCTATGGATTCCTTATGTACCGACTATACGCGGGCTCAGAGACTCAGAAGAGGTCCAGAAACACAGTTTTAATTAGTGGTTTTGTGACTGTAGTTAAGGACTTCCACAAAACCCCGAAGGCGACAGCAACGAGAGCATAGGAAAAAATAAGATCTAATGAGTGAACCAATCGTATAATATAGATAATCACCTAACAAGCAATAACAAGCAATACGCTGTGAAAGTAAGGTGAGGTATTTTTTTTGAGAATTTGACGTATTTTTTTATTCCTTAGAGCGGTCGTAAATATGCCCATACAAACTCTTATAATTCCGCCATGACTGTTATTGCGCAAGATGATCATCTCACAGCTGGAGCTTGGGCCGCCTGTGATTAAATCGTAAATTATCGTGCAGCTACAAAAGTGATTTCTAAAAGAAGTGCAATTGAATAATCTAAAGAAGTTTTCCCTTTCAGTTTCATTTTATGTGCTACTGATTCTTGTAAATCTAGTTACACATATGATTGTATTATTTACGTTTAGTTGCGCTCACGCCGCTTATAAGAGGCGCAACAACGAATAACAAACTATGCTGATTGACACAGGACACAGCATTTGACACAGGACACAGCATCAGATAGGTATCATTACAAATAGATATGAATTTATCATGAGTTATGTAACCTCTTCTGTGGGGTGTTGCATGGTATGTCGTTACAATTGCTTTATTAGCAGAGAGCCAGTGTATATACTGCGCTGCTTTCATCCATATTCATTCGCGTCCTACGAACGTCTCTGCGCCCTTAAGATTAAATACCCAACGAGTGAGGGCTAACAGTTCATATCTATATATTTACAAAGAGTATGCATAAGAGTCAGTGTTTTTTTTGTATTATCAGTCGTTTGCTTGCTGTATTTTGAGCCTTTTAGAGATTCTGTAATTTTCCTGTCAGTTTTCCTTATACATGTTTACACAGAATATGCACGAGTCAGTGCGTTTTTCATATACATATTTACAAAGAGTATATTGTATTATGGCGTTTATTGTATTATTAGTTGTTTGCTTGTAATATTGTGAGCCTTTCAGAGTTTCTGTAATTTTTCTTGCAAGACATAATTGTTGTGAACTGTTTCCACGCAAAATTTGTGTTCCTAAATTTATTATAAATTTGATTGTGTATTAAGTGAGTTGTAATTTCGTTACCGTTAAAGTACAGCGTTAACGTTACAATTAAAAGTAGCATGTAATAAGGAGCGGTATAGGATAATCAAATTAGTTCTGCGAACAGTGATGTATGAAATTAGGTATTTGCAGGGGGTTTAAGCGCGTAGGAACTCAAGTAAAGCCATGTTTCATAGGAAATTAGTGCCAACGAATCGTTGTAGAACGTGTGTAAGAATCCCACACTGAATTACATATCTAAGGGTGGATTTCCTTAGCTAATATATGTAAATTTTTTTGTAACCCGAGGATTAGATTGAAATAGAATAGATAGATCGTGGAACGGAACTTGTGATGCTGAATTGTCGAAAATAAAGCCTGAATCAAGTGAAAGTATACAGTCCAAGATTACTGAACCAGCGTGTGCGGAATTCTCTGTAACGCAAATGGGAAATTCTGCGAAAATACTACAGAGGGTCGCACACGACTCGAGTTAACACACCCCAACTATGGTTGCGTATCACATGATAAGTGTTTTATATTCGTTTGAGCGGGGTAGCGAATTAAAATATAGACATGACAAAGGACGGATACGTAGTAAAACGCAGCTGGGTGACTGAAATCATATCAGAATATAAATATATCTTCAAATGTCATACTAGTAGGTTCAACGAAGAGATCGTGCAGCTAGTAAAAAAAAATTACACAACTTGTAAGGCAGGTACTTCCTAATAGTTTTCAAGAAATTGATCTTTCTTATTCTTTTTCATAAACTTACATGTGGAATATAACTTTATTTTTCTATTCTTGTTTATAATCATATGTCTTGTAAACTGAAATGACTTTGATGAGAAAGGTCAACCCCCGGATCGCGCCGATGGTCACTTTTTAATCAAAATAAGTTTCATTTTTATTCATTTCCATCACTTTTTGGCGAATCTTCTCCTATTTCTCCGTGATAGGCAGTTTAAGCAACCTTCCTGTTATAAACGTTGATGCTTCATCCGGTTTTTGGGTAAAAAGTAAAAATACTATCTAGATGTCATCAACCTCAGCCACCCTAAAAGTGAATCATTTACCCTTGTTTTCTGGGACACTGAGTACCACTGCAAAAACAATAGTAATAGCAACAGGGACGACATCGATATTCAGTGAAATGGAATTTTTTAAATTTAGACCCCTACAAAGGTTTATGGTGCTACATAAAGGCTATCGATTGGCAGACTAACGGCGAGGAGCACGCGCATAGTGGCGGGAGGAAGATGGGCAGGAGAGAGTAAATTTTCTCGTGAGAGATTGAAAATACGGATGGGAGCTGCCTTTGCTCGGTATCCAAACCGTGATTTTTCTTTCGCCGATACAGCTTCGTCTCGGTCCATACAACCGTAAAAAAGAACTCAACCAATATCCAGTCATCTTAACCTCGCGCTTGATCAATAACGCAAATTTCTAGGAAAATCCTTTATAAATAAACGTAACCTGACCTGTGTTGTTTGAGAGAGATCAAGTTACCTTCTACATTCCACGCATCTTCCATTTCAAAGTAATCCCAAGTCAAACTCAAAGATACTGATTCCTCGATATCATGTAATGGAACTGGTTTGTCGTCTACTTACCAAAGTTTTTGTAGCTTTAAATAAAGGTAAGCGTAATTTGGATTCTTCAAATTCATATAACCCAGTAAATCATTCATTGTTAAGGTACCTAGCGTTGAACTCGGTCATATATGTTGAATTAAAGTTATCAAGTAGTTCCCTGGAGAGATTATCAAATATGCTCCATATAGACACGATGGCGGCATCAAAAAATTACTCTTGTAATTCGAATGTTTAACAACTTAAAACTTTAGACTGCAAAAAGGAGAAACCTTTGAGCTGAAGCTGCAGGAAATTTATATCGAGAAAGGCTTTAACAAAAATTCCCTGAATTGTATATAGTATTTGTATTATATTGTAAAATCCACCGCAAAATATAAATAAAATACAGTTGACGAAGCACTCAGCATGTCGTACACTGTCACCATGTCATACAAAATCCTACAACTATAGTTTGATTAGACATTCAATTCAAGTGGACATAACATCTTCAAAGAATACATTACTGGGATACAAGATACCCCCCCTCCCCCATTGCGCCTGCCCTCCGAAAGTGGCGTCTCTCGTCCGACTCTCGAAAAGCTGATGTTTTTGGAACAAAATTTTAACACATTAGAGGCTCAAAGCTGACTAATTGTATTAAACCTGACAACCAAAAGTTTTCGAAAAAGATCTATCAAAGGTGTACAGCCGTGTGATTTCCGCATCGCTCATTTTACTCCATCACCAGTAAACTTCCTTGGCAACGGAATCATTTTTTCATTCCCAGTCCCACTCGGAAGCTGTGGGGCCTCGCAATAAGTCGTTCTCTACGAAATGTTTGAATAAACACAACATAGTTATCGGGTGAGAAGATCCAGTTACCTTCAAGCTCCTTTAGAGCAACCTTTGGTTACACACAAAGACACCGATTCCTTGATTATGTCACCGCGATTACTTTTCGTCTAGATCTGTTTCTTCATCAATTTTCTGCAGCGTAGAATTCCATGAGTAAGGTAAGCATAATTTGGATCGTCTTAATCCATTTCACTTTTCATGGTTGCATTAAATGCATTAAGCGCTGAACTCTTGCTTAAAGCAAGTACTGCTCTGAAGAGCTCACCAAATTGGCTCCACTTTGATATCATTGGGTGTAATAGGTGAACTTTAATATCTAAAATATTCATCAGCTAAATCATGGCTGAGTGCATTTGTTCGTGACTTGTAAACTTGGTTGCAAATGCTCTTCACTCTGGCGTCAATCGTGAATTCATGGTGCCGGAAAAGAGGGGAAACATTTTGGGGGGAGTTGTTGGAAGTCAAGGTTCATCAAAGGTAAAATCATAGCCACATGTCAATTCATCGTGGACCATCATTTTGAAAAAGCATGATTGTTTGCTCGGCCGCCCGCCTCAACCTTGCATTTAAATGGTGCCACTTTTGACCTAGATTAAACATTTTCATTTGAAACATTTTGCATATGCGTCACGAGCGATTGTTCGATCGCTTTTAAGCCACCCCACGTTGCGTGCACCAAACACGATGATGATCGAAAATTTTAGATCGTTTAACTGAGTCAAATAAGTCGTCGAAAGTTATTTGCTGCTCCAAAACATCAGATGTTGAAATATTTATGGCTTGACTTCTGTCTCTTTAGACCTCACGGTCTAGATGTTGATAAATAATTAATGATTACTGTGGATCAAGCACAATGTGAGACGATTTCCGAGAAGTGGCCAAAACCTTTCGCTGCTAATTGAAAGATGAATCATTGCTTCAAATCTTTTCAAAGCATATATTTTTAAAGAACTTCGCCGCTCTCCATCACGTTTCTCACGCTTCATTGCTATGAATTAACCAAACATCATTTTAAATAATTAACCTTGGTCAGTTCTACCTTTTCTGCATGTTTTAGTGATTTCTACTAAAGAGAGATTAGAGATCTAAATTTAAAATGGTTCTGATCACCGGCGTTGTTTCGCGAAATATTACTTCGTGTCAGCAAGGTTCACTTCATTTAGGTCGACGAATTGCTTCAGGGGTTGAAAAGCTTATGATTAAGCTCACTTAATTGTACATGATGCCTTCTCCAACAAGTCTGATAAATTCTCAGAAAAAGGGCTTGTTATATTTCCATGTAAAATTGGCGAATAGGACCGAATAATTTTCCCTTGTTAGTCCGGCCTTCTCGCTCCATCGTTCTCAGTCTCGTTCTGCTCAGACACGTAACTCCTTAGACAAACAGACCGCAACCGCCAAAGCAATTCGGCACTTTTAAGAGCAGGGAGGGACAGGTAATGATAATTTTTACATCGTGCACAGCACAAAATCCTGGATGATAACGAAAAGCTCGAAAAAATACCGTTCCCTACCAATACAAGTGCCATTTGGATTGAGTTTTAAAATATATGCGTCTAACTTTCAAGGTTAACCAAATTTCAATTCATTTTGGTTTCAGGTTTCGATCTTTTAGGTTTCCTGTTTTCCGGGTATCTGACCTTTGGGAAGGCTTATCGGGTTTTTCTTCACGTAAGGGAAAGGGAAAAAAGTAAAGTAAATAAATATATCTTCGAGCTTTCTGAATTTTAATGGTGATAACAAGGCTAATCAGTTGAACGGAATACTTTTTTCTCTAAAGAGAACTTTATTTCGGAAGCCGTGGTGGCTTTTCTACAAGAAATGTTTTTATGTGGGTGATCTCTGAATGATCCGCAGCGCTCTTAAATTGCTTTTTGAAATTGTCGTTTATTTTGACAAACAACACATTACATATCCGCATGTGAATACGAATTTGTCTTCTCGAGGAGATGTCTTTCACTCGTTCGCTGTAAATTGTGAGGGAAATTATCAACACTCGAGAATGAAATTCTTACCCCGTGGCCATGGGACATCCTGGATTATTATACAGTTATTAGTGCCTGTGGGCAATATAAGGCAAGTCCTGTGTTCTTGTCGGCCACCCGAGTGGGCAAGATGGGCCCATCTTGCCCGCTCGGGACTGCCCACTTTGATCCCACGAAAAGTTAATAAATTACGTGGGGTGGGCTTCTTATCTTCTCAAAAATTTCGGTGATGGAGTCGCATAAAGTAGCAGAACACATGCACTGAACAAACAGAACATTAAATGCCTCTCGTTGGTTTATTGTGCTTAAAATGCTGTTCGATTTCTTTCCCGGCTCTCGAAATATACAATTCAATTCATCCTTTATTTTTATCATGTCGCAATCTTTTTGTTGTGTATTTTATTGACCAGGCTTGTTCGGTCAAGGTGGCTGGATATTAGCCTCGTTCTTTTTCGGGTTTTTTTTTTTTTTTGGCGTTTCCTAAAAACAACAACAAAAGAACTCGGTCATAGTCCAGACATCTTGACCACACGCATTTATTTGTTACACTGGTGAGATTGAGTATCAAATTTGACCAGTCTGAGCTGTGAAATAACAAAAGAACTCGGTCATAGTCCAGAGATCTTGACCACACGCATTTATTTGTTACACTGGTGAGATTGAGTATCAAATTTGACCAGTCTGAGCTGTGAAACGGTCAAGCAGAGATGTGTCTTTTTATTACTCAGGTAGTGACCCGATACTGACGGATCAATCCTTCCTTCCAACTGATTCGTTGAAAATAGCTGAAGAGCCACTGACTTACCGAGATGCAGTCACGTAACGGAGAAGAAACTAAATATTTCTTCATAGTGAGCCAATTCAGCCGAGATCAACTGGTTCTTGATATTAAAAATGGCAAGAAAAGTGGTATTCTTAGAATGGTGGAACCAGAACGCGGACGATCAAGTCAGTTGTGGAGATGGGATGAGAGTTGTCGGCTGGTCAGCAAACTGGGCCTTGTGGCAGACATCAAAGGTGCAAGTAAGAAGGAAGAAGCCGTCTGTCACGCCTGGAAAGCTCACGAAGGCCTAAGCCAAAAGTGGCGAGTCGAAAAAGCAGCCATTATGAGCAATCTGAGTCATCTCGTTATCGATGGTTCGCCTCCCAATGCCCAGGTTTTCATGAGAAAATTCAACGAAGACAGTGAACACCAAAAATGGCATTTTGTTCCAGAAGTAGCGTGGGAAGATTTCCAACTTTCACTACGAGAGCCGAACCTCCTTGCAAAGGCGCTGTTCTGGAAGAATATGGCTGATAATTATCTTGATGTCATCATAGGATACAGCATCGAAGAGTTCGAGGCCAGAGTCCGTAGAGCTTTCAAAGTTATAGATGAATGTGCTTGCAGCCTTGAAGAAGTAACAAAGGGTACTGGTATCGCAGGAACGGTCGGGGGAAGTGTGACTGTCGTTGGAGGTGGAGCTGTAATAGCTGGTATTTTATTATCTCCAGTTACAGCTGGTATTAGTTTGGCTCTCACTGTAGGAGGAGGTATCGGTGCGCTTACAGGATCAGCTACCTCATTAGCATCAAACTTGGCACACGGCCAACTGGATAAGCGCATAAGAAGGAAAGTGAATGAAGCCACAGCATCTCTCTTCTGCACCACTTATAGGTTCCACTCGCTATTGGGAGAGTATGGTAAATACCTACAAGACGCAAATGAGTTTTTAGAAAACCAGAAGCATGAAACGTGCACAGATTCCATTGACGGAAAAGTTGTGGCAGTAAAAGAGAACACATATTTGGAGACGGCCAACGCGACTGGCAAAGTTGCTAAGAACATTTACGGCCATGCCAAGGAAATAAAAAGGCTAGTTACGTTTATTAAGGCCAATGCTTTTGTTTACAGAGGAGCGGATATCGGAATCTCCACAAGTGCTGCAGCACCAGGAGTTACCATACCAGTGGTGGGCAAAACCCTTCTGCGCGCTGGATCAACTGGTGCAAAGGCTCTTTCCGGATCGCTGGCTGCTTTTGGAGTGCTGACTGGCATCTTTGATATATATTCAGGTGCAAAGAAAATACAAAGTTGCGGTGAATTAGCGGAGGAATTTCGCACCTCTTCTAAAACTTTGAGAGAAGAGGCCGATAGACTAATTTGCCTTTACAAGGAACTCCATCGAGATGAAGAGTGCAAGCAGTTGTGTGACTGAAAATAAGCTCTTAGTGTTGGAATGGAGACGATTTTTCTTTCAGTAGTGTGACTAGATCTCGATAGTGCCATCACGTAGAATTTAAACAGCAACACTGCCCAGTTAGTCGATTAATGCATGATGAATTTTGAGCATCGCTATCTTATAACGTAACAACAGCACTATAGTATGGTATATTCCTTATTCGATGATTTGACATAAAGTTCACGCGGATATTTTTTTAAGTTCCGTAGTATTTTCGCGAGCCCAGTAAGAACGTGGAAAAATGCGACCGTTTTGCAAAATGTTCGTTACATTAAATCGTAAATCATCGAGCAGCGAAGAAGTGTAATTAAATAATCTAGAGAAGTATGTGGTACTGATTCTTGTAAATTTAATTGCACATATGACCGTATCATTTACGTATAGTTGCGCTCAAGCCGCTCATGAGAGGCGCCAAAACGAATAACAGACTACGTTGATTGACATCTGACACAAGATACAGCATCAGATAAGTATCATTACAAATAGATAGAAGGGATCCGTAATAAAACGCAGCTGGATGACTGATATCATATAAGAGTATAAATATATCTTCAAATGTCATACTAGTAGGTTTGAAGAGATCGTGCGTTGAAAAAAAAATTACAAAGCTTATAAGGCAAGTGCTTCCTAATAGTTTTCAAGAAATTGATCTTCTTGTTCTTTTTCATGAACTTACATGTGAGATGTAACTTTATTTTTCGATTGTTTTTTATAATCATGTATGTCATGTAAACTGATATGATTTTGATGAGAAAGGTCAACCCCATGATCGCGCCGATGATCACTTTTTAATTTAAATAAGTTTGATTTTTATTCATTTCCATCATTTTTTTGCCCATCTGCTCCTATTTCTTCCTGTTAGGCAGTTCAAGCACCCTTTCTGTTAGAAACGATGATGCCTCATCCGGTTTTTGGATAAAAAGAAAAAATACCATCCAGATGTCAACAACCTCAGCCACCCTAAAAAAATGTTTTTTTCCCACACTTGTTTTCTGGGCCTACAGGCATACACTAAAGAACAATTTTAATTACTGAGTACCACTGCAAAAACAACAGTAACAACAGCAACAAGGAAGACATCGATATTCAGTGAAACTGAATTTTTACAATTTAAATCCCTAAAAAGGTTTATGATGCCACTATAAGACTATCGATTGGCAGACTAACAGCGAAGAGCATGCGCATAATGGAAGAAGATGGGCACGAGAGAGCAAATTTTCTAGTGAGAGAGCGAAAATACGGACGAGAGCTGCCTCTGCTCGGTTTCCAAAGCGTGAGTTTTCGTTCGAACATACAGTTTCTTCTCGGTCCATACAACAGTTAAAAAAACCGCCAATATCCAGCCGTTTTGACCTCGCGTTTGATAAATAACGCAAATTTCTAGGAAAATCCTTTATAAATAAACGTAACCTGACTGTTGTTGTGCATGTATGAGAGAGATCAAGTGACCTTCTACATTCCACGCATCTTCCATTTCAAGGTAATCCCAAGTCGCATTCAAAGATACTGATTCCTTGATATCACGTAACGGAACTTGTTTGTTGTCTACTTACCAAAGTTTGTGTAGCTTCGAAGTAAAGGTAAGCGTAATTTGGATTGTTCAAACTTAGA